GAAAAGGAACACCTGACTTCTGGGTCCTGTGACCACGTAATTGGGTTAGCACGAAAGCACAAGGAAAAACAATGGCCATAATAAGATAAAACAAAAGAGTAAACACATAGTTCAAGAAAGAAACCATCTTAGTGTACTCAACTGGGATTAGCAAATCAGCAAGGCCGGGGTTTTAAGCCACCCAGAGAAGGGAAGCGAGGCCTCGCATGGACGAAGGGAGGGACCGAATGTGACCACTACACAAGGCAGGGACCCTGGGAAGTTTCCCTGCATCGTGTACGGTGGGAGCGGGAAAAACCCCAGACCCAGAAAACAAACAGACAGATTTGTTTCTGACCAGGGCTCTGGGTGAGGGGGAGTAGGTCTTGAGAAATCTAATCTCATGTGTACAAGATTTAGAAATTCCAAGCTTAGAAGTTAACTTAAAATTTATGCCAGAAAGATGAAATCTTTGAGAGAACTCGGCAGAATCCAATGTGAAACAATTTCATAGGGTCATTTCAAGAACCAAGATGCATGAGCTTCCCACACATCAGTAATTCGATGAAAATGAGGCCGTGCTAATTAGAAGACACCTAAGGAAACTATCCACAATAAGAACCAGTAAATGGATTAAATGTCTATTAGATGAAGCTGAAGAGGAATAGAGAACTGGAAAATAGAGATGGGAAATTTATACATAATTCGGCATCAAGAGAGAAAAAGATGGAAATACAGAAAAGGTTAGGAGACGTGGAAGATGAGATTAGATGATTCAACACACGTGTGAAGAAACTGCAGCCAAGGAGTACAGTGAATGTGTGTGAAGGGCAGTGTTTAAAGCCAAGCGGCTGAACATCTTGTAGACCGGATTAAAGGAGTTTGATGAGGCCAGTATTACTCTAATACCAAACTAATTGGGGATGTTATTAAAAAAAGGTAAATTATAGGCCAGCATTGGTCATGATTGGACTTCTCTGAGCTTTGGAATCTACAGTTTGGTGTTTGGGGGCTGGGTTGGAGGGGGGCCAGAGGAGGGAAAATGAAGACATCTGTAATAATGTCAGCAATAAAAAATAAATTATAAAAAAAGAATTGAATATAGGGATATTAAACTACTCCACAAAGCCAGTGAAATGTGTAATTAGGAAAAAATTTTTTAAACTTCTCAGCCATTTTGAAAGAAATACCAAAATATGTCTTTTGGTATTGCCATTAGGTGTGTGAGAGGGGACCCCCAAAATCTGGAATTATCTTCTGGAGGACAGTCCTCTTGTAATCCAAGCTTCTCCCACGAGGTGCATGTTCTAGGAACACATCTGTAGCAGTGTACCAGCTGGTGTTGTTGTGAGAGGTTGCATTCGGCTTCAGTTAATTTTTTTGAAGACAACACATTTGCCTATTTCATGATGTGTGATTTACGAGCTCACCTGCCCACACTGTGTTGAGTGTTCAACAGTTTTTAACCAAAAAGGGCATGACTTCCATGCCTCACCCTCCCCATTCACCTGATCTCCCCCCAAGTAGCTTTTTTTGTTTGTTTGTTTCCCTGGATGAAAAAAGTCCTCAAAGGGAAACGTTTTGCTGATGTGGAAGAGGTGAAACTAAAAATGGCAGAAGCACTAAAAGGCATCAAAATCAGTGAATTCAAAAGCTATTTAGAGCAGTGGGAAAAACATCTCGATAGGTGTATTGCATCAAATGGAGAGTAGTTTGAAAGTCACTGAAGTTTAAACATGTAAGAATAAATACCCAATTTTTTATAAATAAGTTACATTTTGGGGGGAATCCCTCCTTGTATGTTACATCCTTTATAGCTGCCCCACAATCCATCTTTTGAGATAGCACAAGGTTTTATTCCTTAGTTCCATGGAGATGAATTACATTGATTGATTGATTAAATATGTTAAGTCAGTGTTTGACTTAACCATGGTACGTTAAGTCTTTCTACATATCACTGGATCTGATCTCCTGGTACATTGTTCAGGGTTTCTGCATTATGTTCACAGGGGAGACTGGTCTGTAGACTTCCCTTCTTGTAGTTATGGGCATGTTTCTGGATTGGAAGACTTAGTATTGTAAAGATCTCAGTTCTCCTTCAGGTTCCTATAAATCCATGAAATCCCATGAAAAAGTGCATCAAGTTTTCTCGTGGAAATTGATGTGCCGATTGTAAAACATAAGTAGAAATTCAAAGAGCCAAGAATAGCCAGCGATAACCAAGACAGTCTTGATGAATAAGAACAGAATCGAAGGACTCAGTTACCAGGTATCAGGACTTGTTACAAAGCTTCAGAATTAAAATGTGCACATTGCCACAGAGGTAGGCACACAGACCGAGGGAGCAGAATACCAGGCCCGCAGGTGCACCTGCTCTGTGTGCCCGTGTGTATGTGTTGATAACCAAGTTCCACTGCAGTGCTTTCCTAACTAAAGCTGAAGTCACCACCTTTGAGGTGGGAAGGCATTTCTAGGAGGAAGTGGTCTGGAGGGGCGAGTCCAGTCCTGCACTGCTCTAACTCCGGCAGCTGTCTCTGTTCTGCTGCCGGGGTCCCAGGCTGCACCACTCAGGACGTGTACTGTATTCATCGAAACATGACTCAGGAATTTGGCGTAGGCTGCAGGTTGGCATTTTGTGGTCCAAATTCAGCCACATGGAATCGTGGGGGCCTGGGGGAGAGGGGAAATGGTGTAAATACTAAAGCCGGTCTATTCTTCATTCAATAACCACGACACGTGTAGTAAGCCTGAGATGAGGAAGGTGGGCTTGTGTCTGCCTGTCGGTTCCCGTGTGTTGGAACGTGTGAGCCTCTTGCTTCGGTCAGTGTGGTCCTAGCGTTGACAGGTAGGTGTTGTCTGTGTGCACAGACCCCTGCACCTGCTGCCCAGTTGAGGAAACAGCATCTTGTCCAGTCCCGAGGGGAAGCTGCATTCAACTTCAAGGTGGTTTGCAGAATGACCATTTGCTCGGGCTCTCAAGCCAGACTACCTGGGTTCAAATCGTAGCTCCATTCTTCCCGTCTGTGTGGCCTGGGCAGGTCACTTAGCCCCTCCACGCTCAGTGTCCTTCCCTGTAAAATGGAGATCGCATTGTTGTGACTGTTAAATGACCAACATACATTGTGGCTAGCACTTAGTAATACATACTCAATGTTAACTGTTGTTATTGTTACACAACCAAGAGGTGATAGAGTCTGTGGTTTCCAAGCTGGTACATTCACCAGGGATTGTCAAGGACAGCTTAGCCAACCCCCTTTTCACCCTCAGCTTGTGCTGCAGAACCCAACCCCAGCATGAAATGTGGTTCTGCCATAGCATGCTTGCTTCTCTGCCTGGTCCCTGGTCTTTTAGGGAGAGCTGACGGCATGTCGTGGCTCTCTGTGGAATGGTCGTGTGGCACAGGACGAGGACATCTGAGGCAGGAGGGCTTGTGGGTGGGGCAAGATGGGCTCCCACAGAGGCAATGGAGATGTGCAGACACCCTGAAATGCGTTTATATATGTATTTAAGTACAGATTTTCGGCCACTAGCATTTTCCTGTGCACAAAGTTCTGCTGAGTCTTTTAAGGTGAGGGCAGCTGTTACGCGTCTGTCTGTCCTTTGCTTTTTACTGGAAGATGATGAGAGCCTCATTAGGATGGTGTGTGTGCTAACGCCAGCCTTGTGGTGCTGCTCCTGAGTGCACCGCCATAGGGTACAACTCTCTGCTGTTTTACTACTATTCTTCCCCGAGTGTGTGGATTTTCCGCTCACCGCTGGTTGTTACTTTGAAGAATTCTGAAGAACTCGCAGTTGGCTGTTTGGCTTCTCCCCCTTCTTCCCTCCCCCACACAGAGCAGACTCTCGTATTTACCTTCCCGGGCTGCAAGAATTAAGATCCTATTATTATCCGTGCTCTCATCCCGTCCACCTGTCTTCTCATAGTAGAGATGGTATTTGTCTTCAGCTGTGACTGCACAGGACTGAGGCACACGCAGCTATCTGTCACTTCGCCGTCATCAGCAACTCATCTCCACTGCCACAATGTCAGGCCTGGCTCAGACCCCAGCCGTGACAGCTCCTGCTTCCTCTAGGGGCATTACCGATGCCAGCTAAGGTTTTTGTTTGTTTCTCTCTGCTGTTCTTTTTCTTCCCTTTTCTCATCTTCTTTGGCTTCTTGGCTTTTACTCACAAAAAACTGGTCACTTACAGACTTTGAGCTCCATCTTTCTGCCCGAATGGATTTTTATCATCGAGCTTTTCTTGGTCATGCTGTCTGAAGTTCAGGTACCTGAGCCTGGTTAGAGCATCTTCCACCCAAAGAGGGGTTTGTGCTGTGTGTTCGGGGCACGAGAGTTAGATGAATTGAGCTTTCACTGGGCATAGTTCCTGGGACATTCACATTGGTCTCTGAGAAGAACACGTTATGGTTTGTCTCATGTCCATGCCTAGAACAAAGGAAGTAAAAGTTTAAGAAGTTCTGTTTTAAGGGGATTTGTGTAGTGTGTCTAAAACAGCTTGGGAACATGCAAACATTTAATATTTCACAGTAGTATGTGAAATTACAGTGTACTTGTGTATTGCAAATTGAAGAATCTTGGAAAAAAACATGCGATATATCCAGAAGGAGCATTAGATTATATCTTTCAAGTTATAAATATCCTGAAATGTTAACCCCATCTCATTTTTTTTGTTTTTTTCCCCCTTTCTTCCCAGAATATTTTCCTTCTTGGATATAGTAACTTTGTGCCGATGCGCACAGATTTCCAAGGTAGGGTATTAACCAGATTTTTCATCAGTAAATATCAGGTTTTATTAAAATGAGGATGGATTTTGGTTCAAGTAAACAGTTAAAAACAAAAGTGTCATCTTTTACACTTAATATAACACAGTGTTGTTATAATTCCATATTTGGTGATCAGCTTAATGTATATTAGGGATAAAAGTTTGAAAACACAAAGGTTGAATCAGACTTTCTTTAATGCTCTCAATCAATGTCCCTCTTCCTCCCCAATCCCTGGCCTTTTGTGCCCACCTCCCAGGCCTGGAACGTCTTAGCCCTGGATGGAAGCAACTGGCAGAGAATAGACCTTTTTAACTTTCAGACAGACGTAGAGGTAAGTTCGCCTTGTTTCAGACAGAAGACTTCTCAAAAGATCCGTGAACTGCTCAGTCCCGCCTGCCTTTTTACTCTGTTGCACGTAGATTCACTATGAAGCTGGCCAGGTAGAGCAGAGAGGGAGAAAACCTGGAAGGTATTTTCATACATGGAGACCGGAATTCTGCTTGTGTTTCACTCTGCTCTGTATCAGTAATAGGTTGCTTGTCCGCCATGTTCGTGTTTATAATCAGAGTTTCACCCCTGAGCTTTTTAAAGCCTCACACCTGCCTCGCTAACACCCGCTTCAGGGCTTTAATAGCAGCAGACGGCTGACAAGCATCTTTTGATCGGAAAGGTCCCATGAGAATTCTAATTCACTGTCGAGAATGGAGATGCGGCAGAAGCTGGGGCTGGAGGAGGAGTGAGGCCGGAGGTGTCACTGGGGTGTCGTGCCAGCTGGGCCCCTTTGGCCATTTAATTTCTCAGTGCCTCAGTTTTATCTTCTATAAAATAATCTTTAAAGCCTTTTATAGTTCCAGGATTCTGGTGTATTTATCTGGAAATATGTGTATCTCCATTTAAGAGTGATAAACTACCAAATGAGAAAAGTTTATTTAAAAAGAACTTTAATGTTGAAGTCCAATTTCTCATCTGCCCCTGAAGAGTGAATTAACAAAGAACATTGCCCGTAATAATTGTCTGTGATAATTGGGTGCTGTTTTAAGGACTTGGAGATTCTGAAGTTTACTATCTACCCAGCGTTAGGAAAGTCTCGTTCAGGTTTAGCCAACTACAGTTACAGCAGTGGGACTGCCTTTTGATTCATTTACCCATACAGTGTGTTCATCCAGTGTTTCTGGATGCAAGTTTTGTGTCTTTTTCAATGGATGAGGAAATGAATGCACGTCAAACTGAAATGGGCCCAACAGTTTCCTGTGAGCTCCTTGGCCTGGTGTTCCCTAGAAGAGCTAGTGGCCAGTGGTGGAGGCCGTCCGCCCCCTTCTCTAGGTTACTTGCTGCGGCAGAGTCTCTGGTCCTGTGTCCACCTGGTGGGCAGAGCGCCTGCAGCAGATGGGCCTGAGTGTGGGGTTTCCTCTCGGGCGCTCTGAGCTGGAAGCGGGGACTTCAGGGCCTCACCCTGGAAAGATAAGTTCCAGCCCCTGGCTCGGTCTGTGGTCCCTGAATTAGGAGTTCTCCGGTGCTCTCGCCAGGTGTAATGGCAGCGGTGGTAACGGTGTCCCACCCAGACATGCTCACATGTGTAATTCCTCTTCAAAGTGGTGATCTCTGGATCTTTAGTCCCTGTGTTTACTTCGTGAAATTGAGAACATTAAAGTCCCCAAACTGTATGTAGTATTTTCTGTTGGCCAGTGGACAGTCGTGGTTTTAAAAAATTTTTGCAAGATTTTTTTTCTCTTTTTCTGTGGTTTGTATTGTCGCCTCAAATTTCTTTGATGCCTTTTCCAAACTGTACAACTTTTTGGAACGCATTTTAAAAACTTTTAACTTCAGATATCAAAAATACATGTTCCAGACATGCTGTTCCTTCCCTTGAACGTGAAGCGGGGGCCAGGACGCTGTAGTGGGTGTAAAATGAGCCACAGTAGGTGCAGGACAGTGTTAAAATCGGGTCTGGAGTAGAGAAAGCGCTTCTTCCGCATGCAGTCACCCTTCCCCCCTCCGTGCTCCGCCACACGTCCTCCTTCAGGACAGGTGCGCTGAAACAGGTGGTTGCCAGGAGGATGAGGGGAAACTTTTAGAGGGATAATGTTTAGTTGCAGTAGAATTTCTTTGTTGAAGCAACAGTGTTTTAGATCTCTGCCCAGCAGCCCAGGGTTTCCGCAGCTGACCTCACAAAGCCTTGTAGTTGGTGGAGGGGCCATGAGCCAGGGAGGCCTGCCTTCAGAGTTTTATGGCTTTCAAAACGTAATGCGCTTAAAAAAATAATGCTTTAATTGAAAACATTTTTCAGTGTGTGCGGCCCCTTCATGCTCCAGGGACAGAAGTGGGGTATTGGAGAAACGTTCTGGAATCCCTTCTCTTACACCTGGAAGACTATTCCGTCCTGTCAGATAAGCAGCATGGACAACGTTTCTTTCCAACTCTCGATTCCAGGGTCGCGTGGTGGAGAACATCTCGAAGCGATGTGGCGGCTTCCTGCGCAAGCTCAGCCTGCGGGGCTGCATCGGAGTCGGGGACTCCTCCTTGAAGTAAGTCGGACGGCAGCCGCTCATTCAGGCCGGGGCAGGCGTGTGCGCCAGCAAAACTGAACCACGCGTGTTGTGTGCTTTTCTTCTGTGAAATTCTGTCTGTGGAAATGGGCATAGAGTCATGAGAGAACCTTGACTTTGGAGTCAGCAGGCCTGGATTAGAAGTTGCGCTGCACTGCTGTTCAGGACAGGACGTGACCTTGGGAGGAATTACTTCCCCTCCCTGAGTGTCAGTCCCTCCTCCGCAGGGCGAAGGCCTGTGCAGGAATGTGGAGGGTATCACGGGAAACAGCGTGTACGGAGTGCCTGGCACGTAACAACATCATCGTATTGGTGCGCCGCCCGTCTTCTGTTCCTGCTTCACTTTCCCATCTCCCTACTTCTCGTAATAGTGGCTACCTTTTATAGGCATTCTACTAGTAAAATAATCCCTCCAGTAACTTCGTTAGCATAGCCTGGAATTTTGTTTACCCACAGTGGGACGTTACTTTCACGTTCATTGTATTATAGTTGGCAATGTATCCTGCCCAACTAAACGTATGTGCGTGCGCACCTCTCACTGGGGAGCCATTATTTATTGGAAATGTTGTCCACCCAGGGTTAATGTGCTTTGAGCTTTTGTGGAGACAGGACATAATTAAAACTTTTATGTTCTTATCCTGTAACTTCTGGTATAGTTTGAGGCCGGCTAATCAGGACACAGGCTGCCCCCTAGTCTTTGTCCTTTGCAGACTAAGTGTTACTACAGTGTACACCAGGTTGCAGACCGTCAAGAAGAGCGTGCCGTATGTAGAGATTGCAGGCAGTAGAACTTGTCATCGGAACATCTGCCACACCATTGCTAAGAAAATTGACTCATAACATCTTTTAAGGATCAAAACACTCTTTAAGTGTTATGGAACAAAGTGATTTTTTAAAAAAATCAAATTGAGATCATCAGACCAAATTTTTTGCTACGTCAAAAGCTTTGTAAACCTGTGGAATAGGGTGAGTCTATTTTAACAGAAGGCTTAAATGAACCAAACAGGACCTGAGATAATTTACAATAGAGTCTAATAGGGATTCCGTTTATTTTAGTAGGAACTGAAATAAATGTAGTGGAAAGTAACATACATGTGATTTGGATTGTCAGTGAGGAATATCAAAGAAAAATATTCGTGTCAATTGGAATAAAGACATATACACTAGCAAAACTATCCTGCAAGGCTAAGAATGTTCATTGGCTTGCCCTAAGTTTTAGAGCATAAGCCTAAATTAACACCTGTATAAGTTTTTGATATGAGACCAGACTACTGTGAGAAATAATAAGCAGAATTATGACTCACAAAGAATTTTATTATGCCTCCAGTTTTTTATTATAATCACCTAGAATTAGCCTTGACCTGTATACATGCTGTTTTGGTAGGAGGGAGGCTCTTCATTTATCAGTGTTTACTGAGCATATACTATACCAAGTACTGATATAGGCAAAGGAGACAAACAGTAGTAATCAAAACAGATTAAAATCCCAGTGGTAATGGGATCTCGCATGTATGTTCTCTAACTTCTGCTCCATCATAGTATGTTAAGTCCTGTGGATTTTTAACGGCTTTTTTGAGGTATAGCTGAAATACAATAAACTGCGTATTTGAAGTGTACAATTTGATGAGTTTCAGCATACATATATATATACCTATGAAACCAACACTGTAGTCATGATAACGAACGTGGGTCCCACAAGTTTCCCCACGTGCCTTTGTGATTTCTCCTTCCTCCCGCCCTGTCTTTGCCCCATCTCTAGGCATCCACTCCTCTGCCCTCTGGCCCCGTAGGGTAGTTGGCATTTCCTAAAATTTTATATGTATTTATTCAGTATGTATTCCTTTTTGCCTGATCTCTTTCATTCAGCATAATTCTTTTGAGCGTCTCAATAATTTATTCCTTTTTTTGCTGAGTATGGATATACTACAGTTTATTTATTCCTCCATCTGTTTATGGACACTTAGATTCTTTCCAGTTTTCAGTCACTACTTACAAAGCTGCTACGAGCATCTGTGTACAAGACTCTGAGTGTCACATGTTTCCCTTTCTCTTGGGGACGTAACCAGGGATGGAACGGCTGGATCACTTGGAAGTTACGTGCCTGATTTTTAAGAAACCTCCAAACTGTTTTCCGTGATTGTCTGGTACGTTTGACATCCCCACCAGAAGCGGGCGGTGCTGCTGGCTCCTCCGCACGCCTGCCCATCAGCACTGCGGGGCGGTCCTCCCCCTGCTGGCCGAGCCGAGAGACGGGCGGCCGTGTCTCCTTGTGGTGGTGATTTTGTTTTCTCTAATAACGCAGGCTGTTGAGCATTTTTATGTATTTTTTGCTATCTGTACATTTTCTTTGCTGTAATGTTTGTTCATTTTCTGTACAGAAAATGTACATTTTCCTTGCTTAAATGTCTGTTCAGATGTTCTGCTGTTTTTTTCCATTATGTTGTTTGTTGTCTTACACTGAATTTTGAGAGTTCTGAATATGGTCTGCGGACAAGTCCTTTGTCAGATATGTATTTTGCAAATATTTCCCCCTAGTCTGTGGCTTATCTTTCGATTTTCTTAACTGTTTTGAAGAGGTGTTTTTAATCTTGATGAAGTTCAAGGTATCAATTCCTTTCTGTTATGAATCAATGCATTTGGGGTATATATGAAATCTTTGTCTAACCCAAGGCCATAAAGGTTTTCTCCTGTGTTTCTAGAAGTTTTGTAGTTTAGACCTGTGACGTATGTTGAATTGGTTTTTGTAGATGGTGTGAGACACAGATTGAAATTCTTTTTTTTTTTTTGGCCTCTGGTGTCCAGTTCTCACACCATATGTTGAAATGACCACCTTGTCTCCACTAAATTGCCTTTGTGTCTTTGTTGGAAATCAGTTGTCCAAATAATAGTGGGACAACTGTCAGTGTATGACTTATATTTTTAATTGATCTACTTGTCTATCTTCACACCAAACCACACTGTCTTGATAACTGTAGCTTTATAATAAGTCTTGAAATCAGGGAATATTAATCTTCCAACTTTGTTCTTTTTCAAAGCTGTTTTAGCTCTCCTAGATCCATTCCATTTCCATATAAATTATATAATTGCCTTGTCAGTTTCTACAAGAAGCCTTGTCGGAGTCTTGATTAGGATGGTGTTGAATCCAGAGGTCAGTGGGGGAGACCTGACACCGAAACCGCCTGAGCGCTCCCTCCCACTACCGCGGTGTGCCTTTCCACACCTGGTGGTGCGTTACCACCTCTCTCAGCGTGCTCTGCGGTTTTCAGTGGGCAGGGAGTGCACACCTTTCCTCGTATTTATCCCTAAGGTTTACAAAACATTACTGTAAATACTACTGTTTTTAACTCCAATTTGGATTGCTTATTGTTAGTAAATAGAAATACTGTTGGTTTTTATACAGTGCTCTTTTATCCTGCAACTTTAATATACTCTTAGTTTTAGTAGTCATTTTGTTAATGGCTTTGGATTTTCCGTGTAGACAACTGTGTTACCCATAAGTGAAGAAAGTTTTTCTTCTTTGTCTCTAATCAGTGCTTTTTCTTATTCTTGTCTGATTGCACTGGCTGGAATCTCTAGTGTGGTGTTGAATAAAAATGGTGAAAATAGACATCCTAGCCAGTTCTCAGACTTAGGGGAAATGTATTAAGAATTAAGTAGGACTTCCGCCAAGATGGAGGTATAGGTGGATGTGCCGTGCCTTCTCACACAACCAAGTTTAGGGACAACTAAATATTAGCATCAGAAAACACAACCAGAACACGGAAAATTGAACTTTTCGGAAGTCCGTTAACAACAAATTCTTCAGCCCGACCGGTAAGGGGCGAAACCGGTGTCTGGTGAGGGGTTGCACAGGAGGGCTCGGTCGACCCGGGCGCGGAATCCAGACGCACGAATCCAGACGCACGGGTTCCAAACGCAGGATTGGACCTAGTGAGCGACCGAGCAACCCACCGGGTGAGCGACTGCAGAGGAGACAGTGGGGAGGCGGTGCAGTGTGTTGACTGCGGTTGCCTAATTGCCCGCAAGCGGACAGGCGAGGGAGTGGGCGGTTGGACCGGCCGCGGTGATAGAGGGCGCCGCCATTTCCCCGCTCTGACCACGCCCCCACATACAGCGTCACAACCCAGCGCCCTGGGAGTCCAAGGCACCGCTTCTCACATTTAAAGGGCCAGAACAGACCAAAAATGTCGCAGGAAGACCTCAAAGCCCCAGAGATAAATCTAAGCGACGAAGAAATAGCAAAACTCTCAGACGCACAGTTTAAAACACTGGTCATCAGGATCCTCACAGATCTGGTTGATTATAGCCACAAATTAGAGAAACATATGAAGGCTCAACTAATGGAAATGAATGGAATTCCACAGGAAACCCATAGCGATGAAAAGGAAACTGGGACTCAAATAAATGGAGTGGACCAGAAGAAAGCAAATAATGGCCAAACAGAAAAGAGTGAAGAAGCAAGAATTCAAAGAAATGAGGAGAGTCTTAGGAACCTCCAGGACATCTTTAAACGCTCCAATATCCGAATTATAGGGGTACCAGAAAGGGGAAAGGCACAGCCACCAGTGGAAAACTTATTTGAACAAATAATAAAAGAAAAATTTCCCCAATCTGGCAAAGGAAATAGACTTCCAAGAAATCCAAGAAGCTCAGAGAGTACCAAAAAAGTTGGACTCAAGAAGAAACACACCAAGGCACATCATAATTACATTAGCCAAAATTAAAATGAAGGAGAGAATCCTAGAAGCAGCAAGAGCTAAGGGGACAGTCACCTACAAAGGAGTCCCCATCAGACTGTCAGCAGATTTCTCAAAAGAGACCTTACAGGCAAGAAGGGGCTGGAAAGAAATATTCCAAGTCATGAAATCTAAAGACCTACAACCAAGATTGCTCTATCCAGCAAAACTTTCATTTAGAATGGAAGGACAGATAAGGTGCTTCTCAGATAAGATCAAATTCAAGGGGTTCATCATCACCAAGCCCTTATTATATGAAATGTTAAAGGGACTTATCTAAGAAGAAGAAGTTAAAGAAACATGAACAGTGAAAGAACAACAAGCTCACAGTTATTAACAACCACACCTAAAACGAAAGCAAACTAAAAGGACAGCTAGATCAGGAGTGGAAACATAGAAATGAAGATCTCAAGCAGGGTTAGCAACAGGGGAGTGGGAGGAGGAGATGGGGGGAGAAGGTACAGAAAATAAGTAGCATAGACAGTAGATAGAAAATAGATGGGGGGGGGGCAAGAATAGCATGGGAAATACAGAACCTAAAGGACTTGAGACACATGGACATAAACTAAAGGGGGGTAATGGTGGGGATGGGGGGGCAGGGCGGAGGGAAATGAAGGGGGGAATAGAACAACTGTAACAGCATAATCAATTTAAAAAAATAAATTAAAAAAAAATTAAGTACAATGTTAGCTATAGATTATTTGTTCAATGATCATCAAATTGAGAAGATTTTGTTCTACTCCTAGTTTGCAGTTTTTCAGAGTGGATGGTAGAGTGTGTCAAATGCTTTTTCTGCATATTTTAGATCATCATAGGTTTTTCTTACTTAGTTTATTAGTATGGCGAATTACATTGGTTAAGTTTTGAGTGTTAAACCAACATTCCATCCCTCAGATTAACCTTACTTTAGTCATCGTGTATTATATTTTTATATATTCTTGGACTTACTAAAATTAAAAATTTTTTGTATCTGTATTCATAAGGGCTGTTTTATGGTTTTCTTGTGATTTTTTTTGGTTGGATTTAGTTACCAAGATAATACTGGCTTCATAAAACGAATTGGGAGAAGGACACACCTCAGCTTTTTGGGGAGCATTTATGTATAATGCCTATTGATTATTTTCCTTACATGTTTGGTAGAAGTCATCATTGAGGTTATTTAGGCCTGCATGTTTCTTTTGTGGAATGGTTTAAACTACAGATTGTATTTCTTTCCCTCTTTTTAAAAAAGATTTATATTTTTACAGAGAGAGTACAGGGAGGGAGAAGGAGAGGGAGAGGGAGGTTGATTAGTTGCCTCCCCTGCAATCCCAGTGGGGAACCTGGCCCACAACCCAGGTATGTGCCCCAAACGGAACTGAACCGGAAACCTTTGGTTTGCAGGCCAGTACCCAGTCCACTGAGCATCACCAGTCGCGGCACAAACCCTGTGCCCTGTATTGATGTATTTCTTTAATATGTACACAACTCTTCAGTCTTCCGTTTCTTCTTGAGTAAGTTTTGCTGTAGTTTCTGTCTTTTAAAGATTTTGTCCATTTCATCAGAGTTCTTGAATTTATTGGCATAAAGTTGTTTATAATACCCTCTTATCATTTTTTCAATATCTGCAGTGGTATCTCCTGTCTTTATTCCTGATACGGTTTTATTTTTACCATATGAAAGTAGTTGTCATTTTTAATAAAAATTCAATGATTATACAGTGCCTGTTGAAATTTATATAGTCTGAATATTTTTACTGGCATTAATACTGTATTTTTAAAGAGCAAAGATTAGTAAATTCTTCTGAGATTGTTAATTTTATCTTTTTTTCTGTTCTCTCTGGCTAGACTTATTAGTTTTATTTGTATTTGTAAAGACTTAGCTTTGGGTTTCATTGGTATTTTATTTTATTATTATTTTTTGTTTGTTTTTTTACTTCTTTGATTTCCATTCTGATCTTTATTATTTACTTTCTTTACTTTGGGTTTCATTTGGTCACCTTTTTTAAGTTTCATTTTTTATTTTATTTTATTTTAAATATTTTATTTATTTATCTTTAGAGGGAAAGGGAAGGAGAGAGGGAGAGAAACATCAATGTGTGGTTGCCTTTTGTGCATCCCCTGCTGGGAACTGGCCTGCAGGGAACCGGCCTGCAACCCAGGAATGTGCCCTGACTGGGAATCGAACTGCGGTTGTCTGGTTCACAGTAAGTTTCATTTTTTAAAAGATTTTATTTATTTATCTTTAGAGGGGAAGGGAAGGAGAGAGGGAGAGAAATACCAATGTATGGTTGCCTCTCGTGCGTCCGCTGCTGGGAACTGGCCTGCAACCCAGGCATGTGCCCTGACTGGGAATCCAACTGCGGTTGTTTGGTTCACAGGCCCACGCTCAATCCACTGAACCACACCAGCCAGGGCTTTTTTTAGTTTCTTAAGGTGGAAGCTGAAGTCATGGATTTGAGAATTTTTGTTTCTTTACTAATGTAGAAGATTAGTGCTATGAATTTCACTGAAGTGCTGATGTAGTAGCATATCAGAAATTCTAATGCTGTTTGCATTTTTTAGTTCAAATACATTCTCTTTACCTTTTGATTTCGTTGTTGACCCATGGCTTATTTAGAAATGTATTGCTTCGTTTCCAGATATTTGGACATGTTCCAGACTTTTACATGGTTGATTACTACTTAATTCTGTTATGATCAGAGAGTGTACTTTATCTGGTGTGAATCTTTTACCTTTGTCTCCATGTTTGCTTTTGGGCGTTTCCATCGCTGTTCCTTGGAGCTCAGCAGCTGTTTCTCTCCCGGTGTCTGATCTGCTCCTCATCCCATGTAGCCAGTTTCTCTCTCTGCCACTGTGCTTTTCATACCTAAACGTTTTAAGTTGGGGCTTTAAAAAATATCTTTCAGCCCTGACTGGTGTAGCTCAGTAGATTGAGTAAGCTTGTGAACCAAAGGGGTGCTGGTTCGATTCCCAGTCAGGGTACATGCCTGGGTTGGTTACAGGCCAGGTTCCCAGTGGGGGCCACGTGAGAGGCAACTACACACTGATGTTTCTCTCCCTCTCTTTCTCCTTCTCTTCCCCTCTCTCTAAAAATAAATAAATAAATAAAATATTTTAAAAAATCTTCATGTCTCTACATAACATGTTTTTAAACACGGCATGCTTCATCTTTAGCTTCGTAGCACTCTAGTGCACAGAGCACGTTTGTAATAACTTTTACTGCCTTTGTCTGCTGTTTCTAGTGTCTGGGTCAGTTGGAGGTCAGCCTCGATGGACTGAACTTGCTCTTCATTGCGGAGAAGATGTATTTTCTGTTTTCAAGTGTAGGGTAGTTTTTTGTTCAATGCCAGGCGTTGTAAATTTTACTTTGGGTGCAGATATTTTTGTATTTCCGAAAATATTCGAGTTACTTGGACCTCATTCCTTTCATATTTTGTTTTTAAAATTTGTTAGTTTGGACCAAAGTAGCATTTGGCCAAGGGCTAATTGCACCCCATTCCTGAAGCAAGAACCTCGTCATTACCTTGCCCGGTGCCCCTGAAGGGTGACATCCACACTCTTGGGGGTGGGGTGGGCCTTGTTCCTGGCTCCAGGGGAGCCCTGGCTGCCGTCCCCTCCAGTGCTTGTTGGAGGGTCCCTCTGCAGATCTCTGAATTTCTTTCCCTGTAACGTTGATTCTTTTCCGATAACTCTAACTGCCTTGGTCAGAGACTTTTGGCTTCACATCCTCAACTCGGAGCCCGTCCGGCTCTAGCTTGGTTCCTGTGCTGTCACGGGGCAGAAGGATGTCACAGATAGAGTGACATCCGGCACGAGTGCAGCTTTTGGAGAGGTTTGGGTAATGCATGGAAGAGTCAGGGCTCAGTCTTACAAGATGTGTTGAAACTGAATTTTAGGAAAAATGCAGAAAATGCAGAAAACCCAGCTGATATGTTAAGCATTAAGTGGCAAGTAGGAGATGTCTAATTTTCTGCTTCTGGCCTTGCCACCAACCCACAAATCATTGAAGGAGCAGCCCTTCATGACTCAGTGTCTCCCTCAGTGAGTGGCCAGTTCTTGATACTGATCAACTACCCACCCCATCAAAGGCAAGAGGCAGTTTTCCCAGAAAGACCGCAGGGCACTAAGTGACAGCATGGCACAGCATAGGAAGGATGCAGACTTCTTACTTCTCACCGACTTTCCTTTAAAGGGGAGGTTAACAGGGCCCCGGGCCTCGATTCTTAGTGGACCACAAAGTGTGGATGAGGAGAGTTCAGACTGATCCGTAGTCATTGCCGAGCAGGGGTTTCTAGTGTGTCCTGGGCTTTTACAACGTGCAGTACGGGACTATTTAGTCGGGGGCGCTGGCCTCTTCTCCTGCAGACTGTGAAATAAAAAATGACCACGGCCAACACAGTAGCTGCCCACTGAGAATGAATCCAAATTACAGCTATTTTTTGGTCAGATCAGCAAAAAATATTTTTTGGTGTGCCACAGAGCTGTAGTGATCAGTGTGTGTGTGCCATGAGGTGGAAAAGGTTGAAAGTCGCTGCTCCAGGGCTTTGCTTTTCGAAGCGTGGTCCCCAGAGCAGCAGTGCTCTGCGTGGGGACCAGAACGCCAGTTTCTTTGTGGGCGCATTAAAGTTTGAGGAGCCCTAGTACCTGTAGTCAGCAATAACATATTGTCCACTTAAAATTCTGTTAAGCGAATAGATCTCATGTTAAGGGTTGTTTGCCCAATAAAATAAAATTTCGAGGGGCACCGTTCTAAATGTGAATGGTTACTCATGCCCTCTAGTGGCTACCCAGCAACTTGCAGGGAGTTTTTAAATGTTTTTTCATTTCAGGACCTTTGCTCAGAACTGCCGAAACATCGAACATTTAAACCTCAATGGCTGCACAAAAATCACCGACAGGTAAGTAATGAAAATTAGTTTGGTGACTAATTGGCTACAGGGAGACGGAGAGGAGAGAAACACGGTTGAAAATGTCTTTAGTGCCTCTGCTCTTTTTCAGCACGTGTTACAGCCTCAGCAGGTTCTGTTCCAAGCTGAAACATCTGGATCTGACCTCCTGCGTGTCCATCACCAACAGCTCCTTAAAGGGGATCAGGTAGGAGTACCTGCTGTGTGTGGTCAAGAGAAATACCCAGAGCTGAGGACATGTTGATGTGTCTGAAGCCCTTCTAATAGTCCCCGGGAGCAGGAGTTGGCGGCTTGCACAGGCCCCAGAGGTTCTCTCTCCCTGGAGTCGCTGGTGGTTTGCCAAACTCAAAATCGGAAGTAAGGCCTCCGCAGGACAGACTGCGCATGTGTGGCTCTGCTTCTCGTTCTCGCAGTGAGGGCTGCCGAAACCTGGAGTACCTGAACCTGTCCTGGTGCGATCAGATCACGAAGGACGGCGTGGAGGCCCTGGTGCGCGGCTGTCGAGGCCTGAAGGCGCTGCTGCTGAGGGGCTGCACGCAGGTACCGGGGTCGGCGCGCCGGGTGCATCCACCCTTTGTCCAAAAATGGGTGTGGGCACTTCATCCGGGACTTGCTGCTGCGCGTTTTCCCCGGCGCCCTGCGGCTCCCTCACCTGGCTCCACCCCTCGTTTCCTCTGTCCACCCAGTTAGAAGACGAAGCCCTCAAACACATTCAGAACTATTGCCACGAGCTCGTGAGCCTCAACTTACAGTCCTGCTCGGTAAGTCACGTGCCTTTCCTGTGCACCCCTTCCGCTCCCGGTTTGCTCCCTCAGGGGCCTGCTGTCGGGGCCCCGCCGCAGCATCCCGGGCGGGTCTCGTCCCGTGGCCTCCTGTGATCTGCCCGCTGCCACAAGATGCAGCACAGCCACCTGAACAGACAGGCCCATGCAAAGCCGCTGACGTTTCTCCTGCAGATGTTACGCGTCGGGGCTCAGGTTATGTTAGGCTATCAGGAACCCGCACAATTCGTGGTAAGGTCTCAGTGTCCTTCTACTTATAAACTGGGGGTGACGACCCTTGTCACGGTGTCTCTGTATAAAAAGGAATGACAGATACACAGATGCTTTGAAGATGAAGGGCCAGAGCAAGGTGTAACTCTCCTCAGAGCAGCAGTCTCAGAAAAGCTGTCGTTCCCGCGGTTGTAAATATGAGTCATTGGGGAGAACGCTTTCCGCTTCCTACTGGGTTTCTCAAGGCGAGCATCGTTTTGAAAAAATAAGAGAAATCCCTTGCATGCGGCATTTAGTGACTGAATCACAAAGCTGTAGAGTCCCTGAGGATGGAGGGCAAAGGAGAAGCTCTTCTGGACACTTAGCGACCACAGGGGCCCGCACGGCTCCAAATAGCACCTGGAACTGTGTGTTGGCTTGCCCTGGCCAGGACTGAAGTATGACATAAACATGCATGTTTATTTCCATGTAAATCTGTGTACTTAAATAACGATATTATTTTGAATGTTCACTTACCAGTGATTTAGTGATTTAGCTTTGCTATTTTATAAATATTTGAGGAAATACTGTAGACATTTAGGATTTATGTGGCAGGTAACTAAAGCATTCATCTATAGAAATTCAACCAAAAATTAATATGTCACTTAGTCAAGTCTCATGAGCTCTTTCTTGAATCAAATTTTTAATAAAATTTTATGAATTTTTCTTGAAAAAAAAATTCAGCGAACCTGGGAAGGGAAACAATTTGAAAATACGTATCAGTCTTCTCGGTGATGCTCTGCTTCTCAGGCTGCGCAGAAGTAACCTGAATGCTCACCTGCTGTGTACATCACCTCCTCACCTTGTTTAAATTGCCGGGACCCAGTGCTGGGGACCGGCAGCTGAAGCCAAGGGGCCACAGTGGACCCCATGTTCCTGCTGCTCCCTTTCAGGGTGCTGGCGCCCTCTGACCCTCCTCTCCGGTTCGGTTTCCAGCGCATTACAGATGAAGGCGTGGTGCAGATTTGCCGGGGCTGCCACCGCCTGCAGGCCCTCTGCCTCTCTGGCTGCAGCAACCTCACGGACGCCTCCCTCACAGCCCTGGCTTTGAACTGCCCGAGACTTCAGTGAGTGGCTCTCTGCCTTGCTCTGCTGTTCAGAATGTGGCGGGGCTGACCTGGGGGGATTCCTGGGGGAGGGGAAGTCTTGACGAGCTGGCGGCATCAGTGCTGGGGGAGGAGGCAGTGGTTGTGGGGGGGTGGTCCAGGGGGGCTGTGTGGCATCCAGTTCATTTTGGGGCGTAGGGGTAGTGCTGAACTGTCCGCCACCGGGGAGTCTAAACCGTGGTACCTTGATGGGCTGCACGCATTGAGCCCCCACTCTCCCTGATTTGCTTTGTCGTGTCATCACTCTGACATCAGAGTGACCCGATTGTCAGCAGGGTGATAGCCCTGCATCCAGATGTCACGTTTCTGCCTCTATGGACAGAGTTGGGGGAGGGGCATCCCAACTGCCATGTTTATCATCTCCCAGCCGGAAGCAACGTTTTGCTTGAGTAAATAATGATTTATTTTGATTCTCCACATAATACTATGTTAAATCTTCAGTAATGGCGACAAAGTATTAGTCATCACTAATCTCAGTTGAACTCTAGGCTCCGGGTTAGGCCCTTTTATAAGCAGTATCTCACTCCATCCTCCCTGCGTCTCCAGGAGGGAAGCCCTGTTACTCTCACTTGTTTCTCAGGGGAGAATCCCAGGCTCAAAAAAAAAAAAAACAAACCATGATTTGTCCTGGATCACATGAGTAAGAATTAAAACTGGAACTTGAACTTGCTGAGTTTGACTTCAGAACCAGCTATCTTAACTCCTGTACTATGTTTTAGTATTTTTTATTTGCCAGGAAAACGAATCCATTTCTTATGCATACATCAGTTACGTATCTTTTAAGGATTGTCTACTTTTGTCTTTTGCCCATTTTTCTTACTGGTAAGGAAGATTCCAGATAATTTTGATGTTCCTGCATAGTAAAATGTATCTGTGTGATTAAAACTGGTCAGAAACAGTCAAAATTATATGTATTATATAATTATATGTATATATGTACTATGTATAATTATATACACATACATGGCATCCATCCTTGTTAATATAGGAATTGAGAATTAAGTTTTTTTTTAACTCTTTCATTGTCTGTAAATTTTTTAATTCTCCTGTATGGTAACTGAGGATTTCAGTAAATGCAGTACTTATCAAGATGATTTTGTTGAGTAAAAGTTCATTTAAATTGTGTTTAAAAGTCAGCAAACACCGGAGAACTAAAAACAGCAGCAACAATGTACTGGCATTGTGGGAAGACCCCTGGATCTGCCCCGGAATTTCCGGTGGGACCGCGGGACCGAGGGCAGGTCCCGTTCCTCCCTAAGCCTCATCCTCTCCTCTGTGCGGTGGGGCAGCATTTGCATTTACAACCCTGAGGGCTGCGACCAGAGGCAAGGGCGTGCCAGCGAGCGTGTTTCCGCTGCTAACAGTCGCCACTCTCTTCCCCCCGCTCTGCATCCCAGGATTTTGGAGGCTGCCCGCTGTTCCCATTTGACTGACGCAGGCTTTACACTTCTAGCTCGGGTAAGGTGGGGGCTTTATAAAGTAAAGCCCAACTCTAACTCGCCTCCCTCACTCAAAGTGACGTGGAGGGGTTTCGGAGTATGCAGAGAACTACCTTCAGAAAGGACCGGGGCCATGTAGAATAGTCCTCGGGTGTGCCTTGCTTTTTCCCAGGTGGTGGGAAGCTAGGGAGGTCCGGGAGGGTTTGTAGTGGGCGAGGCCGCTCTCCGTGGTCAGGAGGGGCTGCAGTATTGGAGCCTCCTGCCTGGGCCGATGCCCTGCCTCATCCACACCCAGCTGGGCTCTGCTCTGCCTCCACTCCATCCTCCACATTGACCTGCACATGCAGACCCCCTTGGGGGCCCCTCTGGCCTGTCGTCACGAACCCGAGTCCTCCTGGGGATGCCAATACACGTTCTTTTATCCCTGCCCTCACCTGCCCAGGCTGTGGCCCGGCACCCTCCCGCCCCCACTGGGCCCTTAAAGAACCTCCTTTGCAGCTGGTGTCTGTGAAGGTGTAGGCAGCCACCACTCCAGGATGAGAAAAGGCAATGCAGTCCGGGGCAGCCCTGTCCCCATTTCCAAAATGAGTGTGATTCAGAGGGCTCCTGCTGGCTGCCTGGGTCTCTCTTGGAGCAGGGCACCTTTCCTACTGGAAGAGAACAGGATATGGGGCCAGTGCTCAGCGGGCGTCACGGGGCAGGCCACCAGGGTCGTCCTCACCACTGACCCGTGCTGACGGGGGCCTGTGGACTCTTTCAGAATTGCCATGACCTGGAGAAGATGGATCTTGAAGAATGCATCCTGGTGAGTGGACCCCCTTCGGCCCTGGCACGGGGGCCATGGCTATGGAGTGTGTGAACTTTGGTCTGTTCAGTCATCAGATAGCGACAGCTGAGGTGGTCAGAACAGCTCCATGTTTTACCAAACATAGAAAAGACTCATTTCACAGAACTTAGTAAAGAAATAAGCGTGCACTTCCAGGGATGTGGTGACTACACAGAATCCCCGGGGACCCTCCTTGCCCACTCTCTTTTTGTCCCCAGTCCCTCGGCCCCCTTAGGGAACCAGAGTAGAGACCAGAGAACGCTTTGCTTCTGCAGGAGGGGGCAGAGTTGAGGTTGCCGAAGAAAAGAGGTGCTCCGTCCCTGCCCGAGCAGAGCGGGCTTGGGAGGCGTCTTTAATTCCCTCTTGATTCCCCGGTTCAGAAGCCGTCGTTAGGTGCTAAGTTCCACCGTGGAAGCCACACTGACGCAGCACATGGTCTCTCTCCAGATCACCGACAGCACGCTCGTCCAGCTCTCCATCCACTGCCCTAAACTGCAAGCCCTGGTGAGTCTGTTTCTGTGACTTTTTTCTTCCGTTAGGGATGGAGAGGCCTCGCCATAGGCTCTGGGTTTCCCTGCTGTAAAGGCATCATTCTTGGTTTCAACAGTCTCTTGGTCGGGTTAACACAGGAAGCAGGGCATTGAAATGTTACTGCTTTAATTTTAGGATGTGCACCTAATAGAGGGACCCACATCCTTACTTCACTCGGGTTCCTGGTCATTGTGTCGGGTGGAGTGAAAATTAGCCCACTACAGTGATGGCACCTACGACAGAAGACTGATTACTCGACCTCTGTAACGCGGTTTGAAGTCAGGGAGGACGATGCTCCCAGCTTTGTTACATTTGCATTTCGTATCTGTGAATATGTATATAGATACAGTTTCTTTCCCATATACAGGTATGTACTACATAAATAAATACTAATAAGTAGAATGTATTGAACGACCCAAAGTTGAGCAGTGAGAAGTAACACTGACTCTCACGCGTGCAGTTCACGCTGGGAGCCTGGGCCCGGAACTGTGCTGCTTGTACCCCCTGGACAGCTGGCTCACTCCACCCTCCATGAGCCTGAGTGACCCGCTGTGGGTGTCCCCATTTTATTAGTGGAACAAACTGAGGCCCAGCTACACATCTGCTTGGAGACCTGAGACCTCCTGACCGCCACAGGGCCTGGTCTTCCCTGTGGCTGGCCTGGGATTTGTCGTAAGCCAGCTTTCTCTGACTTTGAAACAGACTCTGTCCTCAGAGGCTAGAGTTTGATAACATCAAAGCACCTTTGGCCTTGAGTTACTCTTTACTCTCCCCACCAAGTTCCCTTATTTCCACATTCCCTCTGGCCTTTGGACAGCTGTGGGACTTCTAAGAGCTCGGGGTCAGATTTCAGGGAGCTGTCGGGAATCTACCTGTGTCGGCATTCTCTGACTAACCTGTCTCCCATCTGCATATTACGGTGACTTTGTACTTAGAAGTCTTAACTCCCACAGTGTTCTGCTTCCGTGTGAGATCATAAGGTGTTAATCCTCCTCTATTTCACTGGGCATAACGCCCCAAGGCCCATCCGTGTTGTCACAGATGCAGGAATTCCTTTCTTGTGGCCGAGTTCTCCACTGCGTGTGTGTCTGTCTTACACTGTCTTTACCCAGTTAGCCAATGGTGGACACGGAGGCTGTTTCCACATCGAGCCTGTTGTAAGTGAACATGACAGTGCCTATGGCTTCTTTAAACTGACATTTTCATTTTCTTCACATACACAACAGCGGAATTGTTGGATCATCTAATAGTTCTAATTTTTTTGAGGAACCACCTTCTGGTTTCGACAGTAACTGCACCACTTTACATTCCAACCAATAATGCACAAGGGTTCCCTTTCCTCCACATCTTCAACACTTGTTACTTCTTGTCTGTTTGATAACAGCCGTTCCAACAGGCATCTGTTTGTATGGCGGCACCGAACTATTTTGATTATTATGTTGTAATGTAGTTTGCAGTCTGGGAGTATGCACCTCCAGCTTTGTTCAGGGCTGTTTTGACTGACCAGGGTCCTTTGTGGTTCCACACAAGTTTAAGACTGTTTGTGAAAAATGCCACTGAAATTTGGTCGGGATTGTACTGAAGCCACAGGCTGCTTGGGTGATATGTTTTACAGTAGTCATTTCCCAGCGTGGAATGTGGACCTTCAGTCTCTCACCCATGTCTCAAAGTCTTCAGAGTACAGGCCTTTCCTATCCTGGTTAAACTTATTTCTAGGTATTTTATTCTCTTTCATGAAGATGTAAATGGGATTGCTTTCTTAATTTTTTCTGACAATGTTATTAATCTATAGACATGATTTTTTTATGTACTGATCTTATATCCTGCACCTTTACTGAATTCATGTAACAGTTTTTTTGGTGGAGGAGTCCTTAGGATTTTCTGTATGTATGTCCTTTAGAGTGATTTTTACTCCATTCCAATTTGGGTGCCTTTTCTTTCTTTCTCTGGCCAAACTGCTCCGGCAGCAGCGAGCGTGGCCCCGGCCCCCAGGAGTCACCAGCATCTGCTATGTGGTTGAGCGGGGAGTGAAGTGTGTGCCTGCCCTGTGCGGTCTCCAGAAAGGATTAGTCAGCCCTTAGACACGGAGCAGTGAGAAGCCAGCCCCTCAGGCTGCGATGATCCACTAATGGGCCTCTTTCACAGAAGGACTGAGCTTCCTGGGTCTTTGGGCTCTTACTGGGCCCTTGAGGTGGCAGCTGTTTTAAGAACTTGTTTCTCTATTGATTACAGTCCTGTGGGACTCACCCCTGTAAGCCCCATTGGCTACCAGGGACAAGAGATGTACTCGTCCCCTGGTAGTAGCCACGAGACCTGGATACCAGTCATGTGTAAAAGCTTTCCTCCAAGAGACAAAGGTGCTCTGCAGTGTGGCAGGGGGGGTGCAAAGAGGGTGCACACCAGCTGGAGAGAGGCAGAGGGGGAGCACAGATACAGTACCAGCAGGAAAGGGAAAAAGCCCCTAAGTTTAAATGGCACCCTCCAGCCAGAGCAAGGCAATAGTGCACAAAGATGGTACCTCTAGTCTCCCTGAGCAGACAGCACCCCAGAAGACCCTCAAGTGGGTGTCTAAGCAGACGCCCACCCCTCAGGGTGGTGATCCAGGCAAATGAGCCTCTCCTGAGTCCGTCCTGGTGCCCCTTGACTGACCATTTCCACACTGGGCATGGGGCTGGTGAGGCCAAGTGTGCAAGCCTTTGAGGCCTGTTTCTCAGATTGCTGTGGTCTTGTGGCCTTAAGCCTGTCAGTATTCTGAGCTAGTTCTTTTGGGGGCCTCTCAGGTATGGGCCTCAAAGTCAGTGGGGTCTAACCCCTCACCCCTTAGGAAGAAGCTCCGTGTTTTAAGCACCCTCCATCTGTGGACCGCAGCACTGTGTCCCAGCCTCTCCTACCCAAGTTGGTGTGGGCCTTCTCTCACTGGCCCCACATCTAGGGGTTGCTCAGCATGTCAGGTTTTTTAGAGGACGTTCCCTATGTAGCTGTGGATTTGTGTTCACAGGAAGTGAGTTCAGGATCTTCTTCCTTCGCCATCTTGAACCAGACCATGCACTGCAATTCTAATTTAATGGTCAGAATGGGGAGGGACACCACTGCCCAGCCACAGCAAACCAATGGCCCGTGGGCCACGAGCTTCACGTCTGATCCTCCCATTGATAACTGGCTGCTCTGGGATCCTGCACAAACCAGTCCTGTTGCTTTGCCTAGGTTGTGAGCCTTGGAATGAGGGTCTCGCAAACATGTTCATCTCTTCCTGTCGCAGAGTCTGTCCCACTGTGAGCTAATCACAGATGACGGAATCTTGCACCTGAGCAACAGCACCTGTGGCCACGAAAGACTGCGAGTCTTGGAGCTGGACAACTGCCTCCTCATCACAGACGTGGCCCTGGAACACCTGGAAAGCTGCCGGGGCCTGGAGCGCCTGGAGCTGTACGACTGTCAGCAGGTCACCCGCGCGGGCATCAAGCGGATGCGGGTAAGTGTGGCAGGAGTCTGCACACCTGGCACAATTTCTAAGCACCAAATCCAGTAAGAACCAACATTGTCCCTGAGATGTACAAATAAGTGGAACAAATCAGTGTTTCCCTCTCCCCCTTCCTGTCTCTCCACAATAAAAACCACCCACATTCTACATTCTGTTCTAAACCCCCCATTACTCAAACTGATGTTACACAAGTGCCTCCTTAGACTTCTTCAAAATTCCCTTAATCACACCCCCCCCCCCCCCGGAAGATTCAGCCTGCAGAACGGGTTCCAGTGTGGTGATCAGCACCTTTACAAGGAAAGGGCTGGAGGTCATTCCCACTAGGAGGTCGAATGTGGTCTTGGCTAACTTCCCCGTGACAGCACCTTATAGAACATGACTTTCTTTCCACATAGTTCATGTTATTTTCTTGAATGTGCTTTAAAATTTTAACTTTTTATTTACACCCTGGAATAGCCCCAGGATGCCACTGCTGTGGGGACTCCACTCACTTTGCACACAGAGCCAGTGACAACCCATGGCCAGACCTAGTATAAATCAGTGTTCCTTTGTCTTCAGACGGTGCTGTTTTATGTAAACAGGATTTCTTTTTTAACTATTTGCCTCATAGTAAAAGTGAAACCAATTTTACATAGAGAACTACAGGTTTTTCTAGGTTTATGCCTGTAATCCCCAAAGTATCAGTGTGAAGATTATTCCACCCTTTCCTTCAATTTCCAGGCTCAGCTCCCTCATGTCAAAGTCCATGCCTATTTTGCGCCCGTCACCCCCCCGACAGCAGTGGGAGGAAGTGGACATCGGCTGTGCAGGTGCTGTGTCATTCTCTGACAGTGGCCGTGTGGGCCCAAGTCCAGAGGAGACCTGAGTCTTCCCCACCTTCTCCACCGCCATCTGTTGGTTCTCCATTGGGAAAGGCATTGCAGGTAAAAGACTTCTGTAGGGATTGCAGTAACTTCTGTAGGTGATAGTTTTCACCTTGATTCTGCTGCCAAGCAATCAAATCAAAGCCTTGTGTCAAGAAACACATGGCAGGAGCAGTCTCCATGCAGCCAGGACTGTGCAAGAAACCCGGTTTCTTAAAGAGGTGGCTGTACCTTCCCAGGGAACAGAGGTTCTGTCCTTGGCTTTGTCAGCGTTGCGCAGACAGTCCATCAGTGTTAGCACAAATTGAGCAGAAAAAAACAGGCTGTTGATTTTCTACCTGATACTTAAGACGGTGGCCTACTTTAATTCAGTGATTCCATTTTGGTTAGCAGGACTTTTCCAAGTGGCTATACTGCAAATTCATAATACCTGATAGTTTTATATGTAGAGACTTACGTGAAGGCACGTTAAGAAGTTTCCATGAGACACCAAAGAAATAAGGACTCTAAACTGGGTGGAGCAGGGTCTTCACCTCTGTTTCTGTCAACCTGCCGTATATACTTTTGGGGACCAAAAAGTCAACTCAGAGTTTGTGCTGCCTGGTGGGAAACTATAAGCTCTGGCGTATGCTACAGCACAGTTTTATTATAGGAGAAAAGCTAATCACGTCATCTCACAAAATTTGGGGGACCTTAAAGCAATAGAATCAAATAGGCTTAGGTTATTTATAATTGATTAAAAATAATGAATGGATGCATGTAGAATGGGTGTGATTTTTTCCAAGTTTATTTTAAAATCTTAGAAATCAAGTTACACCAGAACTATTCAGAAGTCGTACACACTTAAAACTCCGATCAGTAAAGTGTTGGCACCTTTGCGACTCAAAATATAAAAATGGATAAACCATTGCAATGCTTAAGTCAGAGGGTTTTATTGCTATAATCTGGTAGATCAATCTGAGCAAAACCATTTCCTAAATTCAAGACCCAACGTTATTTAAATTCCAGTAAGGCGATCGATTTAGTTTCTGCCTGTGCTGTCCACGTGTTGTCTTTACTAAGGTCAGGAACACATCACCACCTTCACAGCAAACGTGTGCTAACGGGAGCCCACCCTTCCTCGCAACCACTCCCGGACTGAAGAGTCCAGAGCTTGTGACGTTAAACAGCAAAGACAAGGTGTCATTTTCCCCACGACTAGCAGTACTTCTATTAGGTGGACAGTTTTAGAAGCATTTAGGACATGATGCTTCAGCTGCACTCTAGGAAGAGGGGACATGCATGTAAATTCACAACCCCGTAAATCAACTTAATGGGACTACCCAAACAAGCATTCAAGTCCTTATTTTATTGCTTTATGATATACTCTGATACTCACTTGCCTACATATTTTGCAGTTACTTAAATATACATTTGCACCACTGTGTGGGGACTGATGCAGGATGCTATTTAAATAAACAACGTAAGAGATGTGCTTTGGTGATTATGCATTATAGTTTCCATTTGATGTAAATGCCTAAGCTATCACAGTGACAGTGCTCAATGACCTTATTTACACAACTGGAGAAACCTGATAAAATCAGATCTGCTTCAGGTGTGGAAGTTACTGGGCAGAAATAACCTGGGCCACAGCTCTTAGAAAACATTCAGATTGGTGGGAACTCAGAACATACCCATGGAGCCACTTGAATCTACTGTCCTGTGACACTGGCAGGGACTGGGATTTTCAAATGAGACACACATTTGCAAAAACAGTCGGAAAACATTTATTATACGGAGATGTATACATCCTACTATTAAAAAAAACAAAGTAGCAAATTTGCTGGTGCCATAATTTAACTTGTTTCACTTGGACAGACTAATGCTCAACACCATTTGGTGTAGTTTCAAGTTTGACGAGCTTTAAATTATTTTTACCCAACTTCTAAAACCCAACGCAGAACTCAATATAGCACACAGCATTAAATGACACTTATTGTTCCATAAATCTTTGAGACTCAAAAAGAAATGCTAAGTAGACAAGCAAAACTAAAACAGTGGAAGCTGACTTCTTTCCCAAGTGATCGGTATAGAAAATGTGTTCATATAAAAGCAAAGGGAAAATGACAGAAACAAAGGCTCTCCTGCTTTAGGGTCTATGAGAATTATAGATATTTTAAAACTGAAGGTGGAAATATTTAGAAATAGTGCTTCTTTGTATCAGACAACCTCCTTTATGGGAGAGATTTTAAATTCAGAATGACTCATTCCTGTTTCTGCCTGTACAAAGATGAAGATCAAACAACACATTCGAAACCAAGACACCTGGGTAAGTGGACAGAGGTGCTACAATGGAATTACAGTTTAAAAACAAACTGGGCGTGCCGCACTACAGACCTGAAAAATGCTTGCTGATGAATTCTGGGAAGGGCTTTGGGTGAAGGGAAGAGAGAAAGACAGTAGGAAAAAAATCAGGAAAATACCAGGTTCCCTTTGAAAAGCATATGAGACACGGCATTTGGTTTTGTGAAAGAGGCAATCTCTTTACAGAAAAGGAAACTATTGTGTGGTGTATAAAAAGCCTCTAAGTAATCACCAGAACATCTACTCATGATTGTACTATAAAGCTCAATGTTTGAGAAGTTTAAGGAATTTTCATGGTACAATATAGTGTTTGATTTATGATGTTTAGTGTTCCCAGAATCATTTCCACTTGTTGATAATGAAGACCCCTCACCACAATGTCAGAAACTATGTTTTCTCCTGCTTCGGTCACCTAGCTCCGACGCTGGGGCGGGACTTGGAAGATGTGTAAGGAGGGGACGGTGCAGGCTGAGGTGGGGTGGGCAGTTCAGAGGGATCAGACACAGGGACAGCGGAAACAGAAAACCACAGAAGTTTAAAGGCAATGGGGCTTCGAAGATGAAAACCAGAAACAAAATGCTAAAAATGAAAGCACAAGCAAAAAGTTTTTCAATAAATCCGTGACAAAGCAAAAACACAGAAGTCTTTGTACCTATTAGGATTTACACTGATCCTCTCACCAAGGTACTCTGGATAATGCAGCTTGCTTCCGGCCCTCCTGCTTGGCTCCTCCCCATCTGGCATGACGGACGACGTGAGACGCACACCCTTAGTTAGACATGATTTCTTCTGAGAAGGTGGCAAGCCTCTTACCTGACCACAGTCACCATGTCAGCATGTGGCACCTCTCCACACACAGATTCCATGCTGGCTCCACAACAGCACTGTCCCCCGGCCCCAGCTCAGCAGAAGGTTCAGGCGGCACCAGCCAAACTGGCGCAGAAAGGTAAATGCCCACAGTATGTTTTTACATTCATTTCCAAACCGCATACAGTGTAAAAAGACAGCAAAGGCTGCTTCTAGGAACTCTATCCACTGGCCTCGGCCAGAGAAGCAGGCAGGCGGCCCGCCTGCCTGCGCCGCAGCCCCTAGAACAGGCGTGCTGTCCCGAAGTGCTCACTCTCACGAGGATGCTTGGCTATGGCAGTGACAGTGAGGAGATTCGCCTCTCATACAGCTCATTAGAAAGGTCATCTTGTGTTTTCAATATGAAACATTTCATACAGTAAAATCCAATCCCAAGACTTCTTGGATTCAGTCTTCACACACTTTTAAGCGTGACTTTATTTGGTGCTGAATATAGTTCAGACTACATAAGACATCATTTCAAAATTATGTGGATACCACCACTATTTTCAACTGCAGAAAAAGGAAAGAGAAGTTACGGGTTTTTTTTTAAGCCAAGCCAGAAAACCAAGACTATGAAAATCAAAAATTCCCAGAAATCTCTAACCTCCTCCCCCAGTTCAGAGGTTACCTTTAAATAATTCTACACGAATAAAAGCTGATTCACCTCCTCCAGCTCCTCCTCCCTAAGGCAACTTCATGTACACATTCCCTTTTTAAACATTTTGCTTTTTCAGTGCCCAGCCCATAGCCCCAGCAGCACTGTACCTACCGACTGGCAAGTTCTGGGTGGGGCATCAACAAAGTAGTGAAAGTGCTATGGCAAGGGGCAGGCGGGCCATCAACCCCCCCCCCCCCACACACACGTGAAAACTGAGTGCTTGTATCCATCTTATCCGGAAAGAAATTTCTTATTTACTGATTAGAGAGAGAAACATCGATCTGTTGTTCCACATACTGGTGCACCTGCTGGTTGCTTCCTGTTATGTGGCCTAACCAGGGATGGAACCCACAGCCTTGGCCTATCAGGACCATGCTCTTAACGGGGGCCGGAAATAATTTTTTGAACTCCACGGAGGTAGATCTGAAACACTTAAAAAAGATATCACTATTTTTGCCTGGTGCCCTAGTTGTTTTTCTAGAAATGGAGAGAAGAGAAGCAGCACAGGCATTCACCAAGGAAAAAATGAATTTTTTCACGAGGACAAAAGCCTGAAAAACAGTGCGCTGAGTTTGGAGGGGACATCCTGTGATGTCTGACATAAGGAATGTCCACCACGTTCACAGAACACAGCCATGCAATTAATTACCGTATGAGTTTCCTTTTTTAGATAATGTGAATTTTGCAGAGCAAAAATGGCACTGCTTTGAGATCAAAATATTGAGCAGACGAGTACGAAGCTGAAGAGTCTGTGAAAATGAGAGATGAAGTGAACCACCTCACAGTTAAAGCCCCGCCTCACGGGCAGCATGTCAGGCAGAGAGTGAGCCCTGCGATGTCAACAACTTGCTCTCTGAGATGCAGCTTTTGTGCTGACACTGGGTTTAGATTTTAACCTGTCAGACTTTTAAAAACCTTTTTTCATATAATTTTGCATTAAAAAACTCCTCCTTAGCCCTGGCTGGTGTGGCTCAGTGGACTGAGCACAGGCCTGCGAACCAAAGGATTGCGGTTCGATTCCCAGTCAGGGCACATGCCTGGGTTGTAGGCCAGTTCCCAGCAAGGGACCCACGGGGAGCAACCATACATTGATGTTTCTCTCCTTCCCTTCCCCTCTACAAACAAATAAAATCTTAAAAAAACAAACAAAAAAAACTCTCCTTCTTACACAGAACTAGAAAACCAATGAACGAAATGACAGTAAGTACATACTTATAATTACTTTAAATGTAAATAGGTAAATGCACCAAAACAGACACATGATGGCTGGTGGTTAAAAAACATGACCCATCTGTGTGCTACTCACAAGAGACTCACTTGAAATTGAAAGACACAGACTGGAAGTGCAGTGATAGAAAAGGTATTCCACGTAAACAAATGAAAAGAAAGCTGGAGTAACAATGCTTACATCTGTCAAACAGACTATAAATGAAAAATGTAAAAAGAGACAAAGAAGGACATTACATAATTTTAAGTGGGTCGATCCAAAAATACAGAGCAATCATACACAAAGTGAGCAATCCACAGTAATACAGGAAGTGCGGTGGGTTTAAATACCCGGCCCACATCGATGGCAGATAACCCAGTCAAAACTAAGGAGTTATGGCCTTGAATGTCACATTAGGTAAGATCGACTTAAGACGTTTATAGAACATTTCATCCAAAAACTGCAGATACACTTTTTTTCAAGTGCACATGGAATATTCTCCAGGACAGATCACATGTTAGGCCACAAAACAAGCCTCAGTAAATCCAAGAAGACTGGAATTATACCGAGCATCTTTCCCGACCACAATGGCAGGCAACCAGAAATCGACTATAGGAAGAAAACTGGGAAAACACAAGTACGGGGAGGCTCAGCGACACTCTACTAAATAACCAGTGGCTCAAAGAGGGAATCAAGAAACCAAAAACTATCCTGAAACAAGAAAATAAAAACACAACTTTTCAAAATTTATGGAATTCAGCAAAAGCAGTTCTACAAGGTAAGTTCACAACTATACGGGCCTACCTCAAGAAAAAATCCCAAATCAACAGTTCAACTTTATACCTAAAGGCCCTGGAAGAACAAAGAAAACCTGAAGTAAAAACCCCACCCTCTGACTGCAACTCAGGTCCTCTTTCAACATCACTCCCCCAATGATTTGTATGGCTCTGAGTCACATCTCACGCCCCGGCCCGTCCTGCCAGCCCCAGACAGGTATAATTAAATGCCAACTTCAGATTCCTACACCAACATGGAACTCTTGGACGGCTTCCCCCAACCCTAACTACTGGGGCCACTGTCCATGCAGTTTCTCTCCCAAGTCAAACCACTCCTCCCCCGACCGTGGAGCCAGCAGAAGCCCGTCTACACACGGTGTCAGACGACATCACCTCCCCCCAAGTTTTCTCATTTTCTCACCTGTCTCCAGAGTTGCAGAGACAAAGAAAAAGCCACACTACTCCTTTGTTTAAACAACTGCATTAGCTTCCCAGCGCATTTCCAGTAAAATCACACTGCCACCAGCAGGTCTCGCATGACAGGCCCTGCCTCCGTCTTGCTCTCCTCACCCATCATACAGTGTGGTAGCTACGTGGCCTTCAAACTTCCTCAGCAGCCACGGTCTTTCCTGCACACACGGCTTTGGGAGGCTCCTTTCATGGTTGCCTCCTCCTCCTCCTCCACGCCTCAGCACCAGTGATACCACCTCAGAGGCCTTCCCCACAGCTTCACGTCTCCCTCCACAGACACACCCCACGCCCTCCCATTCCTTCACGGCACTGAAGTTTTCCTAATTGTGTGCGTCTGCTGGCCATTCTGGTCTGCTTCCTCCACTAGAGGAAGAGCTCCACGGACTGTTTTGTTGAGCCTTTCCTAGCACCACAAGCATGGTGTCTGACAGATGCTCAGCTGGCTGGCTGAACTGAGCTTATTCTTCCCCAGTCACCTAAAAGGACTGACTTCTCTCCCTTGTTGGCTAGTTAATTTCTATTACGACCACGAGAAACATCCTCTGGGTTCAGCCCTGGCTGGGTGCTCGGTTCAAGCCCCAGTCACGCACGGCACATATGGGAGGCAGCCGATCCATGTTTCTCTCTCCCTCCTCCTCTAAAACCCATAAACGTGTCCTTGGGTGAGGACTGAGAAAACACACACACACACACACACGTAAATCCACATACTCTGCATTCAATTTTCCCAACTCTTCTTAAAATTAGTAAAGCTAGCGTTTGACAAGTGAACACGAGGTGCGTGCTGACCACAGGCATGTATTATTTCTCATGGCCCCCAGCATTTCAAGACACATACACACACTCAAAGTACCTTTTACTGTGGAGAATAAAAAACAACTCTCATCCTGAAAGTTCTGAACCATCTGGAAGGAGAAAGCAGATGTAGTTACGATCCAGCTGTCCTCCTGTAACTGACTTAAAAAGATCAAACTGGGTAAAGGAGAATGTCGTCATCCCTACACCACTACAAGAGCACACGGTCCAACCGATGACGCAGGCTGTGGCAGCGGAAACTGACACCTGCGGCTCCATGGCAGGGACAGTCCCCGGAGAGCTGGTTGACGACCTACCCGGCCTGCTGGGGAGCATCTCCACCAGGTCCTCTGAACAGTTACTGTGACAAAAAGTCACTGCATAAGTGCTCTTCTATTACTTGTCTGTCACTGAACAACAGAGGGAAAAACTGTACCTTTAACTTTCCTGTTTTTTAAAATTAGTCACCAAATAGTGGAAAAAGGAAAACACATCCAAATCCCTCTCCCCATAAAAAGGGGCCAAACCCCCACTACCCTGCAGTCCCCCCGCCGCAGGGAGTGTCTGAGTTGAAAGGGGGGGAAGCGGGGGTGTGAGCCATAGCTCTCCTCAGTTTAATTCCTTGCATCACTGGACTCCCCGAAACTCTTGGTTATCAATTCTTACAGATTTTGATTCCCAACGGTTTGAGATGATTTTCAGGAGTACTTGTAAAAGAGGCCACAGAACTGTTCTATAGTTTACTTTAGAGATATATATAAAGGTGAAAACCAGTGTGAAAGGGAAAAGCAGATGGGCGCGTGGGTTCGAGTTACCTGGTCACTAACAAGAATGTGAATACCAGTGGGACCCTGCCTGTACACCTGGTTAATCTGGTGGAAAGGGATATTAAACACCAAGGCAAGTTTTCGAGCAACTTCTGAGGCAACCATTTCTTCCAAGTAGATGGCATGATAAACTGAAATAAAAAAATATGAGAACAGCACTTCAGCAATAATCTTTTATCTGTTTCCCACCTGGACCTACAGGAAGATCCCATCTTTCAAAGTACTAAAAATATAAACATTAACGGTAATATCCGTACAAAAGGATCTGAGGTTTTCATTTTCATGAAAAACAAACAGAAGCTGACTGCAGATGTGCCCAGGGGGTCTTTCTGGAGACATGGAACTAAACCAGATTGTGGCAATGGCTGCAAAACTGTACATTTACTAAAATGTCACTGAATTATATAATCACAGTGGGAGGATTTTAGGGCAGGTAAATTATACCTGAAGGAAGCTCTTTTCAAAAATAAAATGTGATTCTAGCTATATATATATACACACACATACATACACACACACACACACCCCAATTTCATAGCTTTTGATTCAGCAATCATGACTGAGTTTATTCTGAAGAATAAAAGCTATCTCCACCCAGCCCCCCAACTAAAAACAGTATAAATGATCACACAGAAAGTTAAGGATGTGGACACTGAGGCTGGTAGCTACGCTACACAGTCCCAGGTGCGTTCTACCTCACGTCCTGCGTTTTTGGACCACAGAACCCCGTGTCAGCCGCTGTCTGCACAGCGCCAGGAAAATCTGCAGTGGCTCTGACGCAGATCCAGCTCAGTTACTACCGATTCAAGCCAGACATGGACCAGGAATGTAAGTGCTCAAAATCTGCTTTCCCAGACAAGGACTTTTTTCCTTGTGTGTTTATATATAAGTATAGAAACCTTTGCTGATTATACACTATGAAAGTACTAGAATCTGGAACTATAACTAGGGCAACACTGCAGAGGTGTCGGAGAGCAGGGTCACCCAACTACAGCCCACGTGGGCCAAACCCTGCCCTCCACTCATTCAAAAATAAAGTGTGGTCAGCACCGAGCCACACCTGTCATCTACACGGTGTCTGTGGGTTCTGACACTACAACAGAACGTGGCTTTTAACAAAAAAGGTGGTTGACCCTGACCTAGGGGTGAGTTCACCAGTATTTCCACACCCCCCTCCACTAACACTCATGTTGGAGGGGGCACCTTCCAAAATATTACAATCCTGACCTCATGTAAATGATACAGAAGATCTTGATGATACATGTAGAGTTCCTTTAAAATGTTAGCCTCCGAGACCAAGGCTTAGCATCTACAGTCTTAAAATTCATAGCTTTTGAAGTCAAAATGACACTAAATGGGGAAGCTCGTAACAGTGATGCTATCCTTGGAATTTTTTTAGTAAAATTCAAAGTACCACGAAGTATTTTTCAGAGTTCTATCTAGTATTAGGGCAACTAACTGCCTCTTTGAATTCCGTATTTTCCCCAGAAAAGCTCTGCGTGTGCCACGCTCACTGTGTTTCAGAACACGGGAAAAGGGGAGAACGTGTCCCACACCTGCTTTACAAATGAGAACACGTGCTGTTCTTCCCAAGGACCACGTTTAGAAGACGGAAGGGGCCGGGTTTTTATCTCTGCCCTAATTCAGGAAAACCTGCGGGAAGATGAGGCCCTCCCAGTACTCAGGTGATGAAGATGTAGAGTGTATTTATGATGACCCAGGACAGCCACCAGACTTCCACACAGAGCTCACGGTGCTGGCCAGATGCTTGCCTGACAGAAGGCCACACACTTCCCACTGATACACAGATACATCTTTACACCTGTGACATTTCAAGTCTTCTCCCCCAGTCAGTAAAATGAGTAAGAAAAACCCTCCTGCTTTCTTGCCAAGAGGCCAAGGTCATATTCATCATTGCACCTGAGATTTTTTTTTAAAAGGCTGCAAAACCCCAAAGCGTCAAGGTAGTGTTTTTATGTGTTAGATATTTCTGGCATGAAGGGCCATGTAAAAAAAAAAAAAAAAAGATTATCATGTGGCTGAAATAACAGAGACGGCCCCACTCCCTGCTCCCAGGGGACTCGGCCCTGGAGCTCCGTGCTGCTGGGACTTGCACAACAGCAACTTGACAGTCCTAATGGGACAGGTGTCCTTCAAAGCCCCGGCTGACACCTTCTGCTGGTACCTCGGTGTCAGAGAAGGAGTGACGGGAGGCTGAGACGCCCCATACCCACCGTAGGGGGTCCCGCTGCCATTCTCGGCTCCTTGGCCCGCAGCCGGCTGCTGCCCCTGCAGCGCTGCGCTGCCCGGCTGCTCCTGGCAGACGTAGATGGTTAAGCGTGGCCTAACCGACCTGCAATCACAAGAGGCCACTCATGAGCCCGGGAGCGTGCTGCTTCACCACACGTACAAATGACACTACAGGAATCTAAGCGCTAGTTCCTTATGAGAACTTTACAAGGTTAATTCATTATACAAAATAATGTACTAATAAAAATATAAAAACACACACCTCACACCAACTATCACAGGTGGTCTAATCTGATGATCCAGACTCTAAACCACTGAGATGGTCTGTCAGATGCTGGTGAATTTAAGTTTCAAGATTAAGTCAGCAATTTAAAATCAGTAAGGTTCAATTTTAATGGAATTTTCACACAGGTCTAGAAACAGCAATGACAGTAAATGAATCCTAAAAGCCAGCACAGTTTACGGTTCTTTCATTTTAACGCACAGTTAGAGGTTTACATTTTAAATAACTGTTTAGTAGCAGCCATATGACCTTGAAAACCATAGATTCCGTATAGCTCACCTAAACGAGAAGTTTGTTTTCTTGGCAACAAACCCAGTCGTCTTCAAGAACTCAGTACTGCCCAAGTGCATTGCTACCCGTCTTACCGTCTACCTCTGCCCTCATCAGTGCCTGCATCATATGTGGGCCTGCCCTGAAGGTGTACACAAAACAGTCTCCTCGTGAGCATGACGCTGCCGACGCGCGGCAGCGCGCAGGCACACGCCCACCTAGCGTGGGCACCCATTCTGCCCACAGCCCCACACAAAGAAAGACGTGCTTCTCTCAAGCAAGACAGTTCCTTTGAAACACAGTATTTTACCTTGACTTCAGGGAATTATAGAGCCGAATTCCATCGGCTGCACCACAAATTTGCACTAAATCTTCCTTTGTCAGTTTTAATAAGTCGGCACCTGGAGAACAGCATAAAGAGATTCTTCTCAAAGAAATGGAAAAGGAGGACTGGCTGCTTTATGGCATCTGTCTTTACACAGGTAAATGTCTCAAAATCATCACAGGTCTCCCGTGTATACACACACACACACAAGAACACACACACAGTTTCTCAGAGCCAAAGGAAATGTTCTTCCACATCCAGTACAAAGGAGCTTAGAAGCCCGAGGCTGGCAAACTGGATCAACGATCGGGGCCAACAGGACGGTCTGCTCCAGCACAGGCTTTCACCACCTGCATTACTTTGGCTGTGTTGTAGTCGTGTGGACAAATGTGATTCTGACTCCAGATAATGTTCCATGTGGTCACCCAGACCAATCTTTCATTTTATAAAAAGAGGAAACGAAGCCAGAGTTTTGGGCACTTCCCTAGCTAAAGTCACAGGAGTTGGGAGGACACCTAGGTGTAGGCCTCTTTCTGCAACATGCGCGGTGAAGCCAAGCTTTCTGGAACAACTGTCACAGCAGCCGGCTTGGCACAGAAGCATGGCAGAGAACTGTGCGTTAGGCCTTAAGATCCCACCCCCACCCCCAAATACCTGTAAGTGTAAATGACATATCTGTATGTGATGTAAAATACCATGGGGGGGGGGAGGGAGTGGTAGAGTCAGACCGACCAAAGTCTGCTCATGTTTGAGGCTGGGGATGGTTACACAAGAGTCCATCTTACTCTTTAGTCTACTTTTATGTCTGAAGGTCTCCGTAATCTTTTGATTTTCCCTTTTATTAACACTCAAGATGTAGTTTATTGGGAGAAGTAAGATGCCCTGTGGGTTCAGGCATGATTTCCACATGACAAATACCCACTTACCTATGTAACAAGACAATGGGCTTACTTTCTGTTTTTGAGGGCCTGAAGGTGAGAGCCCAACAACTACAGCTGGTTAAGAGATATAAAGACCAGAGAAGCACACTTCCCATGAGGCATGAACACTGATGGAGTCAATGAAACAAAGGCAGGCTGGCTCTCCTCCCTCTACTGTGGCCAACGACACGCCCCCCTGCACCCCTGAACACCGGACTGGCTCACAGGTGTGGCCAGAGATGGGTGGGTGCGCACCTGTAACCCTCCACAGAACTGAACAGATGTCCATGTGCACAGCCTTCCTGAAACGTGGATGCCCAGGAGGCTCCGAGCGGGAACTCAGTCTCCTGCTCACCCTTTTGTTATTGAGAAGCTCAAAGGGTAAGGGCAAGAGGCCAAGGCATGGGATCACGGTCACAGTGGGAAGAGTTTACAACTCTCTAGATGGAAAGATGGATCAGTCTAACATAACAGGCATAACCTGGGACCGCCCCCAGTTCCAATGGTCAGAGCTTTTTGTAGGGGCTTTACTCTTTCCTGGGGTTCAAGATGTGTTTCCCTCTCTCACACACTGAAAACTTTAAATTTCCAGTTTTTCATAGAAAAGGTTCTACTTAATCAAACAGAAGTGCGGCTGGTAGCATGACTTTAATCCAGTGCTTTAATGTTAGAGAGACAAAGAATGACATGTGAAGTGACTAATCATCGCGCAAGCATCGCAATACATGGCTGACAGGGAAGGAAGCCATGGAAGGACGCCACGACGTCACGCTCTCCTCTAGGCCAGGTGTGTGCGCACCAGTGTTCCATCCCCTAACAGGCTCAAGCTACGTTTTTACGGCCCACAGTACTGAGGGCAAAGGAAAGCCAAGTGCCACTTTACTGCGGCCCAGTGATTCTCAGGATGTGTCTGTTAGTATTTCGTGGGAAAAGGGTTCCGGGGCCAATGATGTTTGGGAAAAATCTTCCACCTGGTGTATCTATTACTGTCCTTCTAAATAGGTTTCCTATTGCACCACCCAAAGAAGCACTCACTTGGTCCCTTTTAAAATTCCACTTAATATTCTTTTAGCTAATTATGCAAGGTTATACTTAAGTATTATAAAAACCATACCTGAGTACATTCATGCCATGCAATGCTACACAGCAATACAGAGGAATAACAAACTATTGATACAATTTGGATAGACTCAAGGGCATTATGCTGAGTTAAAAATAAAAGCCAACCTCAAAAGGTCACATACTGTATGATTCCATTTATATAACATTCTTGAAATGACACACTCACAGAGACAGTGAACAGACTGTCAGGGATTAGGGGTTGGTTGGTGGTAGAGGGTAGGACTGCAAAAGGGAAACCCTGTGGGGGCGTATTTCTGAATCTTCGGCGGTGGTTATACAAATCTGTGCATGTGATAAATGATGCAGAACTACACACACACACACACAGTGCCAATGTCAATTTCATGGTTTTGACACTGTACTATAATCATGTGAGTGAAGGGTACCCTGGCACACCTCTGTACTATCTTTGTGACTTATAGTAAGGGAAGAATTACTTCAAAATAAAAAATCAGGAACTAAAAAAACTGCATAGAATTGTATGTGTTCATCCACCAATGAGGGCGCACCAACCCACTGATGTTAGCCCCTGATTCTGACATGTGCACGGGCCACAGTGAGCTGTTACCGCTGGGGGAGGCTGAGTGATAGGAACACAGGACTTCCCTGGACGGGTTTCTAACAACTTTTTATAAATCTCTAATTACTTCAAAATTTAAAAAAATAAGTTAATGAAAAGTACTCATGTGCATGCGTACACACACATACCTGAAAAGTTGGAGAACAGTCTTGTGTAGGAAGAAAACCTGTTTTTGAGCAGCCACTGCTGTGTTTCCTGGGTTGTGGCTGAAGGCTGAAGTTGCTATTAACAAAGAAAACATAAACAGAAGCAACTATTCAAATTTTAATGAACCCCCAGGTCGTTGGCATGTTATAGAGAACACAAACAACAGGCGGGACTCTCCAAGGCTGAAGTAAAAAAAAAAAAAAAAGACCCAAGAAGAGCACAAGTCTGACCACTCAGTGACCCGAACAATGACTCAAGCCCCTGCCAGGGCTTTAAAAATGCAGGGCCTAGGAAGCACCCAACAGTTTCAGGAACAAGATACTCACCTCACTAGAGGTCTGTGAAACTCCATCTCCCTGATGATTTGGGGAAGAAGAATTGCTGGGGAGAGGGGAGAAGAAGGAAAAGATGGTTACTGCTTGAGTGTGTGTGTAAATTTTAAAAAACACTGTGTGACAAAAGAGTACACACTTGCGGTAAGAATACCGACACCGCAGCTGGTCGAGGTGAGTATGATGAGATTACGACAGAAGACTTTCTTAATTTACGCTGCCTCTCTCTCATCTGTTCTGGTGAGAGATTCAAGTTTTGTGAAACTAAGGGGCTCCAATTATCTCCAGAATAATAGGAAAATGAAGGATACTCATTTTAGTTGGGGAAAAAAAAACTTAAGAATCCAAGGAAGATAAACTGGGAAATTACTGCCAAAAAAGTCTACTTTAAGACAACAATAAGCTATAAGTGGTATGATAGTCCTAAATCAAAATGGAGAACAATACCCCTTTAATCAATACGTTTACCAATGATTAAAGAGAACGAAAGAAACCCACAAACACGCACCACTCTCCTTCTGTTACTAAGGGAAAAGGAAGAACACTTCCACAGGGGATGTGGCCACCTCCCAGGTCCTGGGCTCTCTCTCCTTTCTTAGCGCTTGTACGCGAGTTTTACCTGGGTTCACTATGTTGACTGTTTACCACCTTCCTTCACCTGCCAGAACTTCAGCTTCTCAGACAGGGATCTGTCACTGAAATATCATAGCACCTGGAACAGTGCTGGGCACACAGTGGCCTCAGAAAATACCCACTCAACTAGTGAGTGCATGACTTCGTGGCCTGTCTCTAATATCATAATCATCTTCTAAGACTATTGAAGCTGGACTTGACCGCAATGGGAAGAGTCCCCCCTACATGGCAACATGCTGGTCTTCTGGGCTCTTCTGTCTGAGTGGAAGAGTTTTTCTTCTACTTTTAGAGCACAATAACCTAACAAACTGGCTGCCTCGCCAGCTTTACCTTCTCCTCAGGGGAAAAGCATGTTTGTGTTCTAAGTCATGTGTTGAAACCTCGGGCCACAGGTTGGGAGGCGGGGCTGGAACTTTTTCACGGCAGGAAGGTCCTGATCGGACCCAACTGGCACCGTCCTTCAGCGAAGCTGGGCGGGGAAGTCCCGCTGGGCACTGCGGCGGCAGGGCCGGGACACCCGAGACACCGCTCCAGCTCCCGCCCAGAGGGCCCGGGACTTTCAGTTGCATGTCAAGGCCAGATAGTGGAGTAAGCGAAGTCCACCATTCCCGTTTTTAAAACCACTGTAGGTCCTTAGAAACTGGAAGCCCTTCCTTTAAGTTTGAAGACTTATTAAACAAATAGTGTATTTATTAAGAAGGAGAAGAAATGGAGCAGAAAGTAACCCTTGTTTGATATGTTGAGCATTTGTAACAACTGCAATCTCAACATATTCAAGTCATAGTTTCACCTTTGAACCTCACTGCCCTTTCTCTATCCATGAACCCCACTAATGTTCTTTTTATCTCAGGAAGAATCTTTCTTGAAAACACCCCCGAGCCTACATCTCCACAGGCTGTGAGTGTGTGAGACACGAGGCACTGGGAGGCAGGAGGCAGGCGGGCAAAGATGACTTTTCCCCGAAATCGGGAGGCCACTTCCCATGACTACGTACTTCAGAGACACAGAGAGAGAGGCTGCTATCAACTGAGAGGAAGGGCAACAAAGGAGCTCGAGCAGCAGTCGGCCTCAGGTGCACAATGACACAAAGCAGGTACCTGTCGGGGACACTGCAAGTGCTCTGCGGTGGGGATGCGAAGGTGGGCGCAGCGGAGGGGCTGTTATTCACATAGGCTGTGGGGGTGTCGGGCCATGGAGAACACTAAGGACAGAAACAAAAATAAATTAATAGTATGCTTTTAAAGGACATGGAAAAAACACTTTGTCTTTTACTCTAGTCTGGCCGAATACAAGATTATAAAACACAAGACACCTGACACTCATCAAGCAACCCCATGGAAGTGCATCAGACTGCCTGCTGCCGTACAGGTCTAGGCACTAATTCTAGAGAAGACCGGAAGTGACCAGAGCAGCAGAATGTCATGCAGGCATTTTAAATGTATACTTATGTACAATTTGCTTTCGAGAGCCTTTCACTTTCCTCTGTCAATTCTCCAAAAAGTGCCTATCGAGGGTCAAGAATAGCAGAGGCAGGAAAGGACTCATAAGCAGCACCTGAGATCACATGGTGGCGGGGACAGTGTCGGTCCTGCCTAGTACTCCCTTTGCCTCACCAGTGCCCCCCTGCTTCCTTGATTTCTCTAAGATTCATAATCCCCAAGTAAGATGAGACCACTTCAGACCAAAATACAACTGAGTACGGTACTGCCTATCCACATGTGTTTATTATTTATATTTTTTGGAAAGGGCGTGGTAAAGTTTTTCAGCTCAAAGCACAATTCTGGCCAAAGATAGAGCAAACACACACAGGCGCACTGACATCGCAAGCATGCTGAGCAGGCCAGGGTAGTGGCAAGTCGAAGTCTTCAAACCTGACCTGTAAAGGTAATCTAATCACTTCACTCCGTGTATTCTTTCTAAAACTGATCTGCCTGAGAATGCCCTTGGTTTCAAAGGTCCCCTTTCATAAACATTCCTATTTCACATAAAAAAGGCTTCGGATCTCACCATGGCCGTATAAGACTCCCCCAAATCCAAGCAAAAGATCTACTCAAAGGTATTAGAATAGATACTAAGGAAGTCCATGACTCTACAAAAGAAATTCTTCCGTGTGTCAGGTGGTCTTCCATTCTTTGCTTTCAAAACAATTTGGAAGAATACTGTCAGCTGAAACACAGTATTCAAATAAACCTAGGATCATACAAAATGAATCACTGGGATTTTTGGCAGATAACTCAAAAGGAGTTTCAAGACCAAAAAGACACTGCCGAAAAAAGTATCTAAATAAAATTTATCTATAAAATCACTAAATTAGTTATGTTTTATCCTGTCTCATTCAAAATGTATTTCCAATAACATTTCTATTTTATATTAAAAAATTACTCATCAAAATTTACGTGATTTGTTGCTTTGATAAACTGGCACCAATAATAATAAAGTTAAAAGTTTTTTCAACTGATTTAGCGTATGGTCACAGAAAATTAAAAAAAATTAAATGTCAATGTATATATTTGTCATAAAAAATTAGGGTGACAGTTAACAGACTTTCAGGCATAAAAGTATGTCATAACAGGGTAAAATTGTTTAAGGGGAGTGGAAAAGAAAAGATGAGATGAAGAAGAAAACGCAGAGTAAAGTTTCAGACTTAATGAAAGGGCCTGCTCGTGGAATTCTACAGTAACGACGGTGGGTGTCAAAACTGCTATGGGCGTCAGGGTCCAGAGTATGCTTCAGAACTGTAAATGCAAGTACCCACTCTGTCAGAAAACTGTCTCCTCTGGAACTATTTTTTAAAAGATTTTATTTATTTATTTTTAAAGAGAGGGGAAAGGAGGGAGAAGGAGAGGGAGGGAAACATCGATGGGTTGCCTGTGGTACATGCCCCGACCGGGGACCAAACCTGCAACCCAGGCTGTGCCCTGACCAGGAGCCCAACCAGCTTGCTTTTGCTTTGCGTGGTAAAGCCCAACCAACTGAGCCACACCAGCCGCAGCTCCTATTTAAATGTATATAATAAAAACTTTCAGTTATCAACCTAAAAATGAAGAAGGAGCTACAAGACTATAAAGCACTTTGAAGACAAAAATGAAGTTTTTCCAATTTTATTGGCTAAAGGAACTGACACCTGTAGAAAGCAAAGATACAAGAAAAATAAAACAGAAATCCTGAATCTTAGTATTATTACAACTACCCATATGTTTCCTTTTAAAAATGGGGAAAATGACAGAACATATTGTTCTCAACTTCCAAAAAAAGAAATGTCCTGGCTGGACAGCACTGCTAAGCCTGTTGCACAGCGTACTAATTCCACTATAAATTTCACACAATAGTGCTCTTTCTTGAACCAGGGCCCTTGTTTGACTTTCCACCTTATGAAGCAGTTACCTCCTTAGCTTATATACAGTTTGCGGAAACCTAAGACCCTGTGAGCCAGCTGGCAGAGGGAGTGACTTAGGAGTGTCTCCTGCTCACAGTCACCCCCACACCTGGAAGAACCCCCTGCTGCACCCTCCTCCCCAGTACGTAAGACCGCAGTGCAGCGTCACACACACAGCTGAGTAGTACCAACCTCCTGATGTCACGCCTCCCACAGTCTGCTTTGGTAGTTACTGCCAGCTGTCTGCCGAGGACATGGAGCCATCAAAAGCTCCATGTCAGTACGGGAGACACCAAATTGACAGAAACCTCATACACATACCCATTTTCACTTTTACGTATCTAGACTCTTTTAGCAGTACAGAGGTACAGCTGTTAACAGCTGACATGTAAGAACTGCCCGTAAACATGAGACCGATTCACTGAATACCAGACCAGTGTTCAGTGAACACTGAACTGAATATGAGACCGATTCACTGAATACCAGGAGACCAGTGTTCAGTGAACACTGGTTCTCTGGGGAAGCCTCTACTTTCAGAAAGTAACATTCCAAGTTCTTGAATGGCCCGGCTAAATGAGACCCCCAAGGCCTACACGCCCACCTGTGTTTCACAGGTTTCCCCAGCAGTCCCAACCCAGGACGCTAAAGGCTCACCAAGGAATATTTTCACCACGTTTTTTCTGCCTCGGCCTTCCCTGTCCTTAGAAGTAAGCAATGGTCCTCTTGCACACCCCCAACTGGGGACCCGGCCTGCAACACAGGCACGTGCCCCAACTGGGAATCGAACCCAAAACCTTTTGGTTTGCAGGTCAGTGCTCAATCCACTCAGCCACACACCAGCCAGGGCCCTTGGGTAACTTTTGACACTAAGATTAATATTGCTACCCTGGCTGGTGACTCAGTGGATTGAGTGCCAGTCTGTGATCCAAAGTCTTGCTGGTTCGATTCCCAGTCAGGGCACATGCCTGCATTGCGGGCTGGGTCCCCATGGAGAGTGCACAAGAGGCAACCACACATTGCTGTTTATCTCCCTCCCTTTCTCTTGCTCTGAAAAAAATAAATAATTAAAATCTTAAAAAAAAAAAAAAGCAATGGTGCAAAGTACACCACTGTCCTGAAGACAACCTGTAATCCATTAAGGCTCCAGCGCTACCTGGCCTGGACTCTTACAGTCACAGTGTTGGTACTCCCTCCTCAGGTGGACTAGAAAACGTGACCCATCATAGACTACAGAAATTAGCCACCCTGATCTGAGCCAATAAAATGCAGCTCAGAGGCAAAGATGACAAACACCTGAGCAAGGGTTTTGTTCTGCAGCAGAACAAACTGCTTAGAACAAATTGTTCTCAGAAACCAACAGCAGCCCTCTACTAGACAGGGGACCACTTCCCACAGCACCTTTCAACCCTGACAGGTAAGTCTGGGTATCCCTTCTCTACTGAGAAGAACCAACTGTGACTTTCCAAGGACTGTTAAAAAAAAAAAGTGCTGGCCTCTCTTTTTAGGTACTCGAAGAAATACATGCAATGCTGCAGACTTTGTTCTTTAGGGAATTAATTTGTACCTTGATTCTTAAAAAGAGGTTTCCAAGAGGAGCTCTAACCACCCCTAGAAATATCCTAACCAAACCAAATGCAGCTTGGGGAAGCAGCCAACACAGATGAGGAAGATGTGAAATCCCAGGCCAATGAACTGCTGACGTTTTGCATGCTTTAGACTTGAGTTAAGAATCGTGAATAATTTACCAATAATTCTGCCATCTTCAGGGTCACTTTGGGTTCGAGCAGATTATTTTATGAATGAGCAGAACCCATTCCATTTAATTAAATAGTTTTTAAGAAGAGGGGAAAAGTGATTTGAGTTACCACAGTTTCCCCCAAAAAGTTCAAGAACCACTTGTGAGTCTTCAGCTAGGAACTCAGAAGAGGAGGAACACAAATTGGAGGGCCCAGCATTTGGGGAAGGAGTACTGAGTAGTTCCACATAACCTTTGATTTGCCTCAAAAACCCCAGTTAAAATGCAACAAGTGTGCTCCCCAGCCTTTCAGAAGAGTGCATTTTCAGTAGTAGTGCACACAGAAGCATTTAAAACATCTTCCCTCGATGCCTTTACAATACTTTGGAAATGAAGGTCTAGTGACAGTGCTTGTGACTTTCAGAGCCTACAGAGAATCACAGACACGTTTAAGAGCAAGAATTCCATTTCTGGCACCTTGACAATATGAACACTGCAGTGATGAACAGAGCAGCCATTAATACAGATGGTAAGTTATTTAAGAAAAGGGTTAACGCTGTGTTTACATTTACTGTGGATACATAGCTGAGCCGGGCTGTTAGATGAAGAGTGGTGTCATAAAGTATGGATTTGCTATACTTAAGCTGACAAAGCTCATATTCAACCAAAAATCCCCTGGCTGTATGTTGAAGGGAATCTGGCCTGAAGCGTAAGCTCACAATGCGGTGCCAAGAGGAAACACTGATGCAAAGACTTTTTTCTACCAGTGCTGCCAAACAGGCTTTTAAAAGCTCAGAGAGACACACCTTCTTATTCTGCGCACAGGGAGATGGGACACAAAGTAATGCATATGTTAATGTTAAGCTTGCTGCCATCATTTCTCTAGATATTCATGAAAATTTCTTATCTGCTGGACACATGGAGAAGCAAAACCTTTCTAAATTACACAAACATGATAACTGCTGTACTGAAGAATGTATTTTCGGTTAACTCAGTGCTCCCGAAGGAGGTGTGTGTGACAGGAGAGAGGGAGGGAGGAAGGGAAGGAGACAGGGAGGGAACACATTTCTGAGTGTCGTTTTTCCCTCCAAAACCACCCAATAAGGTCAACTTTGTTTTAAAGTGTTAGATTTAGGAAATTTTCCTTAGTGAGGAACAAACAGAAAGCAGGAAGTCTAAACAAAAGCAAATTAAATCAAGACAAGGACGTTAAAAACAAATTTGGCTTTACATTTCCGTGGAAGTAGGTCCTATATCTAACACTGCACAAGGTTTCTTGCACAATGAAAAGAGAAGCAGAAGTCCCTTACACTGCCTCGCTTTGCCAGAGAATCACCGTAGTCTGCTGGCAAAGTCCGCTTGCTGGACTTTTTCTGCTCATGTTCAACTGCATCTTCAATTATAGGCTCAAGCCTCATCTGGACAAACACCAAAGATTGGGATCAATGTGTTTTCATTATACAAAGAAAGATCTAACACCCTGTTTTATGTCTCTGCAGTCCAATTAACCACATGACTAGCAGGATTCAAAGTTAAAGAAAATGCAAAACCCCAGCAGTGACAAAAATCAAACTTTCTAGGCCCCGACTTAATCTCTTGCCAACTTCAAGGTTTTTAAGGTCTGTTTCTGAGACCTGTTTGGGATTTCAGCATCTTCATTCAAGATCCCACCCAGGAAACTAATCTATTAAAACCCCAGAATTTAAATACCCCCCCGCCCCCAATTTCACAAAGAACCTATGTCCATCTGTCCCCTCCCCCCACTCTCCCCCAACCCTTTTGCAGTGAAACTCATCCTTAGGGAAGAGCTACCGTGCGAACCTGCGCCTGTCCTCAGACACCGAAGTGCTGCTCTGCATTACCTCTGTGAGGATCGTGGTATCATAGGATGGCTGATACTTTTCTTTTTCGTGAGCAGTTCTCTTCTCCATCTTCTCTCGATCAGTTTTCTGTTTCCGGTCTGCACCTTTCGGCTAAAATACAAAGCACGGTAGGTTATTTCATCTATCAGGTTACAAACAACAAGCAAAACGGGGCTTTATTTACTGAAAGCTTGGTTTCCATCTCTTACCTTGAAAACTTTGATTTGGCAGCTAGCTGAGTGTAGGTGATCTGTGTATTCCCCATTTTCGTTCTGCTTAAAGGTGTCAACCTGGATCCTGAAAGGCACTCCTTTTTCACCTCCATGCTTCCGTGGAGTGAATTCTGTGCTGATGCAGTGTACCTAAATGATTTGGAAAGTGTTCAAAGTGCCATCCCCTAATTTGTTCCTTCATGTTATGTCCTGCCACCTTTATAAATTCAAGATCCTTTAAAACAAACTCTTGTATCTTAGCCATGTATCTGTTCCAAATTTCTCTGACTGCTTTTAATACTGGCTTTCCTTTCACAACTCTGAGCCTTTTCTGAGCTTTTGGGCAAGAGCTCTCGTTTCCCACTCCAATGTCTCTCCCTCTAAGGCAGGACTTGCTCCCATCAAGGGTACAACAGTACAGAAGTGTCCTGCCTACGTCCCCTACCTCCACCTCAGACAGTATGCTGCTCTCAGACCCTGGGTCCTAAGCCCAAACTCAATCCACAGCAACCCTCACCTCATCATTCAGAGCTTCCACTGTTTGCCCTCTCCTGCCATGACCCCACTCTACCCTGACAGTCATCTTACAGCTATTCCAACCTACGTCAACTTGGGGCGCTCTGCCTGGGGAACTTCCACAGTCCAGGAAGCCCACGGCCTGTCCTACTTGTATGCATTTAAACTCTTTGTCAGCCCTTCAAAGGGTCCTGAGGGCAATACACATCTCCCACCACTCTGTACCCTCTCCTAATACCACCACAAAGGTAGCTTCAGGATACCTCACAGGATTAGGAAACAGATTTTGGTAATTCCTGACTGCCGCACAGCCCACCTTCTAGTGACTACTGAAGTTAAAACTGACCCCTGGAGTACGCTGTGCACAGCCTGAGGTGCAAGGCCAGCTCTTACACCACTTTCATTCACTACATAACTAGTTGTCCTGTTGGAGAAAAGTATGAAACAACGTTCAACAAATATGAGCCGTGTCCCTAGGGACCATTCATTTATGGGAGATAATATCTGCCAGGCCTCAAAAATTCAGAATACCAAAGATTCTTTACTGTTCACAAAAACCATAGTCTACTTAGGCTGGGCAGCAATCAAGCAACACGCCTTTTCTACATACGAGTACTTCATCAGTACCACTTACAAATGTGAACATCCTAGGTATCAGAATTACCATTTATTTTATATATAATATTAATGCTTATAAAAAAACATCTCTTAGATACAAACTGAGTATTTTTAGGTGAAATGATGGGCCTAAGAGTTGCTTTAAGGTATTCCATCAGTAACTTACAGAGCGGAAGGAACTAATAACTCTTGAAGTCACGTGGTAATTACACAGATTATCATTGTTCTTTTACTTTTGTGGAGATTTGAAAAATCTCAGTATTAGAATGTTTTTTAACCAAGAATCTTCTATTTTTTCAATCACATACTTTAAAATAGCAGCTTTGGTTCAAGAGAAATGCATCTTATGAAAAATGGAAGTTTATTTTTACTAGCAGTAGTGTAAGTAACATTTGAATGTTTTCTGTATCAGACTGCTTTTATATGTTAGTCTGTAATAATGGATTTAATCGATTAACCCCCAATTTAACAGTGTATGTTTTTTAAAAGACCTTACAAAGCAGTTTATAAATATGCTTTTAAGAAAGTGGTATCATGCATCAAGAATTCAGTCTTGCCCATGGCCTTGCCTTATAAAGGCTATGCTAGTAACGTCATCACCTCTAGGAATGTAGAAAATCCAAACCTGAATGAAGGCGGATGTGCGTTTCGCAGGGTCCCACAGAAATTCAACTGCATTTAACTGGCTTGGGTTTGTCCTCGTGTCAATGATTCCCACTGACATTGGAATATCTGTATTTTAAAAAGGAGTTACATGGAAACTGACATACTGTGAATAATTTAAAAGCTTACCACTTACTATAAGTATGTTCTAGTGAAAAATGGTATACCTCCAAGATGAACTTTTTTTCTTCAACATTCTCCATGGTCAACCATTTCAACACCAAAACCCACCCAATTCATACTTTCTTACAGCACAGTTTCCATATCATTCTACTCAGAAGATGATGGGCAGTGCCCATTGAGAATTAAATAAATAGTTTTGAACTCATAAAATTCTTGGCTCAGGGTCTTTTAGCACCAAAAACTAAAGCTGGCCCTCAAACATGGGTGAGAACTGCGTGGGTCCACTTACATGCAAATGCCTTCAATAAATACTGTAAATATATTCTCCCTCCTTAGGATTTTCTTTTCTCTAGTTTACTGTGCTGTAAAAATACAGTTTATGATACAAATAACATACAAAATATGTGTTGACTGACTGTTTATATTATCTGTAAAGCTTCCAATCAACAGTAGGCAATGAGTTAAGTTTTGGGGGAGTCCAGTTATGTGCAAATTTTTGAGTGCATGGGAGTCAGCGCCCCTAATCCCAGTGTTGTTCGAGGGTCAACATTTTAAACTATAAAACAACTCAAGGCACATGGGATCGCTCGCTCCAGAACTCTTCCCACAGCTACACACGGTGCCGACACGGACATAGCTAAATGCCTTCATCTCTCTCCCCCGCGGTCTTCCGAGAGTCCACTGTACCTAAATCAAGAAGTCTATCTCCTGGGCGATTCCACTTCCAACCTTCAAGTTGCTGATGCTCGGTATACTGTAGCCGTCTATCGTGGAATACAACTCTTATGATGCTCTATGGAATAAGTGGGGAAAATGAGCACTTTTAATGAGTACCATTCTAGCTAAAACGCAGAAGCGTTTTTTATGTCTTATGCATTCCTACAATAGAAGAGCATACGAAAAACAAATTCTGCTTTAAACATTTTGTCACATAACTGCTTTGATCTTTTTTACCTGGATTATTGGTGCAGTTATTTGGTGCAAAGAATTACAATACAAATATAAAAAACCTAAATAAAATGATTAAGTGTAATTTTTATTAAAAAATCTGATATTGCAATTTCAGAAATAAGGTCCATGCCTAGAAAATTCATGAGCAAAAATTATATTTGTATGAAGAAAGCAATGGATGAACACAGGAATTACTAACATGAAAGGTGGCGTAAACAGAGGCAGAGAAACCCAGGCACAATGGTAAAAACTGTTCACTTAAAGCGACAGTTAATAACCAAGTATCTTTAAAAAGAGAGTCGCCTGGCAGGAAGAATGGAGATCTGCCCCCACCCTGAGAACCTATATGCAAAATTCACTCTCAACTATTTTACCTGAAAGTCAGCTTGTCTAAGGCAAGCAAGAAACACACACACACAAGGTAACTTTATTCAAACACCCTAGTTCCTAAGAAAAGGTTTTAATTCAACTCTACAAACTCTGGGCCAAGTCTCTGTTCTCTGCCCATCATTCCTCCTTTACCTCCCACAGGTTTGGGGAGCCAGCTACTATTTCATGCCAGAGACAGGATTAAACATGTCATCAAAATACATTCAGATAACAGATTTGTACTAATTCATGTTTCTGACACATTTATGAATAACTTTCTCAGACTATGCTGCAATAAGATAATCATGATTCCAGCAGACTCTGCTGGTATGAGTAGGAAATAATTTGTTAACAATACAAATAAATACTATACTAATACACCTACCTTCTACACTCTCCAATAACGTCCAAAATGTAGCTGGCAAACATTTTGAAGGGAACCAGTTAAAGGTAGTGGTATTTTAACTTGAGCCAATAAAGAACGAGTCAGTAGTTCGGACCAACATGGGGGAGTCTGTGCAGGCTCTGGTGTCATTGATCCACACCCACCTTCCCCACCTGTGACCATGTCTGCAGGGCCTGCCCAAGCAGCCCCCGCTCCGGCACCTGCTTCACACCACTGCCTGCTGGTGGCAAAGCCCTCAATGACAGTGCCATGGGCTGGTGGTGGCCCCAGGTTCACATTCACCTGCAGGTTGACCTCTCAGAAGAAAGTGTAACAGAAAATGTAATGATTCTGATTATTCCATATTTAGTAAGAACCAGGTTAAATCTAAATATTCAGATGGAAATAATGTAAGAATATACAGTTTGACTTAACAGCTTTCCCAAACGCTATAGGTCAGACTAAGATACACAGTAAACAATATGAAAGAAGGAGCGACCATAGTTTAAAAACTGCAAGATATAAAACCTCTTTAATGAAAATGGAAGGGAAAACTTGGTACCTGGAAGTTCTGATTAAAAGGAGACAACACATCTAGAGAACCAGCAAGAGATAAAGGAGCCCTAGCAGTAAGACTGAGACAGAACCAGCAGAAATCACAGCACTACTATGAGAGGCACACTCCAGTTGTTTCAAAGTGAAACGGTGCAGGCAAGAGGGGTCCTCAAACAGGGCGCCCATGTGAGAGCTTGGAGATGACTGGCTCCACGCCATGGGGCCACGCCTGCCCAGACTCAAAATGGCAGCTCAGTAAAGCTGGGAGGATCCGGGAGTGCTGGCAAGTGTAGCTGATTGTGGGAGGAGTGAGAAATGGGGCTGCAAAGGAGGACTGGCATAGGGATTTAAAAGGAGCCGTGTGGCAGCCATTAAGGGGAGAACCATGCAGCTTTGGCAGAGTGGAGACCCCCTCACAGCTTTGCAAAGGAGAACCACTCGGCTTATCCTGGCCCACGACACAGCTGATGGTGTCAGGAGCCTGAATCTACTTCTTTTCCCCGAGATGCGGTACCCAAATTAGGGCAGAGGGAGAAGGGAGAACTGTGTGTGACTATGGGTATCCTAAAGGACTTTTGATATTTTAATGAAGACATTAGGTCACTACTTTAAGTCTGTATAGCTTTAAATAAACATTTCCTTTCCTTTTCACAAATCTCTGGCATTGAGAGACATCTTTCCTTTGGTGGTGGATAAGCGAACCTAGTGGGGGGGGGGTCCTTTCAGTAATAGTACATCGTACCCCCCTTGGTCCTGTGTTCGGTAACAAAAGCACCCAGTAGTTGATCCCCAAGGCTCCCCATACAAGAGTCAAAGATCATGGGGCCAAAGAATTAAATTCTAGATGGCTGCAGAATACTTCAGGGACTCTCTAGCTGAAGAAGGATTTGATTTTTAGAAGTTTATCCTATAGCCTTTGGCAGTGGCAGACTGTAGCTCTGAAGGCCTGGCAAGCTCTCAAGGTGTAACTGAATATATTCTGGCATATCCACCAAAAATCAGACGGGACTTATCAAGTGGAAGATGAAACTGATTTAAGATCTTTTAAAATTAACCCTTTCCAATTTTTAAAGCAAACTTTTAGGGATACTAATGCTTTCAAAAATAAGTGCCCTTATTATAGCTGGATGGTTTCTCTACTTAGTTTCTTTTAAAAAAAAAGGGAGAGAGAGAGAGAGACACTGATTTCTTGTTATTATTGATGCATTCATTGGTTAATTCTTGCATGTGCCCTGACCAGGGACTGAACCTGCAACGTTGGTGTATAGGGACGACACCGTAACCATCTGAGCAACCTGGCCAGGGCCTTAATTTCTTACCTTGCATTAATGTTGTGTTGTAAATGTTTTTTTTTACAAGTTTTAATTTGGAACAAAATCTAAGCAAGTAAGCTTAAAGCCATCACGCAACTACTTAACTCTGCCATTCCCAGTTTATTTGACAGGCTAGCTTGCTAAAAGCATTATAAACATTGAAGTCTTATCTATTGGACTGGTTATTTTTAAATCTTACCACCTATTCAGTGAACTGCTCTAGTGAGTCTGTCTTCACTGACAGATAACAAACTGCTGCAGAAAGGACTTGCTTCACTGCTCTGACGGAAACTTCATTTTGGCATTTGATCTTGGTGCCAAAGTTCATTATACTTTCCTCAGAACACAGAGCAATCATGAATAATAAACTTAGTTAAAGTGAGTTAAAAGTATGAATTAGTAAATTTCATAGTCAAACAAACAAACAAAAACCCATGGGAGTGGATGGAACAAGACCGGCAGACTGGTAACTGTTGGAACGGTGGGAGAACGTAACATGAGGACTCACGACACAGGCGGTTTATTATAACCACCACACGACAAAACGTGGGTTCTTTATACCATTCTCTCTCCTTCTGGGTATATCTGGATTGAAGAGTCCATCAAGCCCTATTCCATTATGTTAAATTTAATTTTTATAATAAAAAATTTTCAACCCTTTCATTACACTGATTTTTTTTAACGAATCAGCATCTGAGACTTGTAGGCTGGTTGAGCAAGCAGTAGTTCTTTGCCACTAGAGTCCAGTGGACCCAAACAGGGCTTCTCACTGAGAAACAATGTTGATGGCTTCTAAAACAGTGAATCTACTCAGTACTTACTATGGGTCAGAAGGCCAACAGGGGGGCATTAAAAAAAAGACCATCTGACTCACCCTCTAGGGAAATGACCAAAGCCACTGATAGAACACAGACATGACAGACTCAAAGTGTAGATGACAAACGTGAGAATGGGCAAATAACCTCTCCTTCTAATCTGAGTATGTTGGGAGACCGAGTCAGAAAGAGGAAGCTGGGACCTCATTCCAAATTGGCAAGACAGTGCTCCGGTGGGGACCAGAACCTTTGTCTTTGCCCTCAGCCTCCCACAGGATGATGGAGGGCTTCTTGCCCCAGGAGTGGGAATACTAAAACATCCCAAACACTCTGAGTCATCCAGGTACTGAGCCGCTGGCTTACTAAAATACCCCAAATTTGCTAGCATTAGTATTAGTATTCATGCGCCCTACTGAGGCTGCCTTTCACATGCTCACCCTCCAAAGAGCCAGATCCACAGAGGGGAGAGTCTTTCCAGTGGAAGGTCTCTGGTACTGAGGGCTCAGCAGTGCCTGACATGGCTCTCTGCGGGGAGATGGATGGATCAAGAGAACTCATACCCGCTTCTTTTTGCTAACATTTAACCAACCTAAAGTTTTGCCTTTTCCCAATTATGTAAGCTTCTTCCATAACCCTGGCCCTGTAATGCTATGGAATTTGTAATGAACTGTGGTGCACAACAGATAGAGGTTAGAAAGAGCCACCTTACATGACAATGGGAGGGGCGGGGCCAGTTCTGAAGATGTATCCTACAAGCAATGATTCAGCTGGCAAATGCCTACACCTCCTATACCTGGAATGACAAACTTTTTCATTAGGATACATCAGTAAGATGACCAGAGATTTCAAATTTATAGAAATTTTAAGAGGTGAGGTAAAGGACATTCTATTTTAACACTTATATTTTTTTTCACATTATCCTTTTCTTTTAAAGAGAAACTTAGGGTTTTTATAGTGGTGGTAGGTCTCTGCCCACATAGCTGCAAGTAATTTTTCTATGGTACCTTTCCAAAGGGCTTTCACATTACCTCAAAAAAATCAGGAGCTTTAAAATAGTCATTATTTTTAGAAGTGAAATTAAATAAACTTTTAATAGAAACTCGTTTAATAAAGCAGTTTAAAAAGCAAAACTGCCTTTTAAAAATCACTGCAGTGCCTGCTATAAATGTAAATGGACTGACCTTACCTTCACCAACTTCCCAGTGATCTCAGGCACGTCGCCCACTTTCCGATTATCCAGCATTCGAATTTCGTAGGACTGACCTATTTAAAGAAACTGTGCATCAAAAACAATCCATGCAAAGAACAACACTGTTTAACAAACTTTTAACTATTTCTCAAAACATAAAATTATCCAATGTTAATTTGCTAGAAAAGCAAATTCAGGCTTACCTCTCTTTCCTGAAAATCATGCCATCCTTTGCTTCCTACGCTATTACAGAAGACTCTAGAATTCCTGTCAATTTATTTTCATCTGTTACCCTCTCACATTAAGTCTACATTATGTATACATCCAGTATCTGAAACCAACTTTTTCTTACAGTTTTATTGAGATACTAAATTTACATACCATAAAATTCACCCTTTAAAGTGTACAATTGGCCCTGGCGGTGTGGCTCAGTGGACTGAATGCCAGCCTGCGAACCAAAGGGTTGCAGGTTCGATTTCCTGTCAGAGTGCATGCCTGGGTTGTGGGCCAGGTCCCCAGTGCGGGGCTCAGGAGAGGCAATCACACATTGATGCTTCTCTCCCACTCTTTCTACTTCCCTGACCCTCTCTCTAAAAAGAAATAAAATCTTTAAAAAAATAAGGTGTACAATTGGTTTTTAGTATACTCTTGTATCCAGAGTTAGGCCACCATCACCACCACCAATTTTAAAACATTTTCATCATCCCCAAAAGAACTCAAACCCATTAGCAGTCACTACTCATCACTCCCATCCCCCAAGCCCCTGGCAACCATGATTCAATCTACTTCCACCTCTAGGGATTTGCCTACTGTGGGCACTTGATATAAATGGAATCACACAATGTATGGCCTTTTGTGACTGGCTTCTTTTACTACATGTGATGTTTCTGAGGTTTATGCATATTATTGGATGTATTAATACTTCATCCCTTTTTATTGCCAAATATTATTTATTGCATAAATGTACCATATTCTGTTCATCCTCATTAGTTGATGAACATGTGTGCTGTTTCCACTTTTTGGCTATTATTAATAATGACACTATGATCATAGGTGCATATAGGTTTTTATTGAGTCAGGATCAAATTTTAACCCTGTAGCCTCCACCCCTTGTGTCCAATGAACCCAACTCATATTTCCTCACTGCTCAGTTGGTGTCCATAAGAAAACACATATAGATATTCATACACCAATCTATACAATTAGGAAAATAAGCTGCTAACCAAAAGTTAACAATGTACTTTCAAATCCACAAAAATGATTTCTAGATCATGTTATTAAATAATAAAAATGACAGTATAATTGCTATGTAGAAAATCAGTAGAAATTAAAAGTGCTTTTATTATTCTTTTATGTTTTAGATTTTATATATTTATTTTTAGAAAGAATGGAAGGGAGGGAGAAAGTGAGGGAAAGAAAAATCAATGTGCAAGAGAAACATTGATCGGTTGCCTCTCGCATGTTCCTAGCGGGAACCTGGCCCACAACCCAGGCATGTGCCCAGACTGGGCATGGAATCAGTGACCTTTTTCGGTTCTCAGGCCAGCCCTCAACCCACTGAGCCACTCCAGCCAGTACCATATGAAGTTGAGGCTCTTTATGATATAACTAATATATTGTTTATACACCAATGGGGCTTACAAAAAAATATACACAAAGGGCACTAGAACATAGGGTCAAAATACAAGAAAGAGTCATCAAACTACAACAAAATCACTCCAGGGCTGGTGATGGAAAACAACTATACATACTACGTTCCTAAGGAATGGGTCTTTAAATTTATGCAATAGATTGTGAGATTAACAATAAATGAACACTTCTATGGCAAGAGATATTTTTATGTTAAATCTGTAGCATATTTAACAACTCAGAACAGTAAGATACAACTTTTAAAATAAAGCATATGAAGATGTCTTTGAAAAATATACCATTATACATTTAAAATTACCCTCAATCTCATAAGAACTCAGGAAATAAAAATTAAAATGTTTGTGCTAATTATCAGATCAAATAATGTTTAATTAAAAATCAAGTGGGGAAGAATGGAAGAGAAATAAACACATAAAATATGGGGGTATATTAATTAATAAAGTGTTTCTAAAAGGCAATCTGCCTGCACCTGTTAAGTTAAATATTGTAACCTTCAACTCAGGAATTCTGATTAATCAAGACAAAGAGAAAAAAATGCAAAAAAGGGAATATTTGTAATTCGCATTACACACAAACAGCTAATCTCCCCAATACACAGAAAACTACAAAATTGCTAACAAATGCCCAACATCTCTATAAGAAAAAAAACGAGCAAATGACATGAACACAGTTAACAAAAGAAAAAAATGCCAACAGTTTTTAAACATATCAAAAGACAATCAACTTCCATCAGAGAAATGCAAATTAAAACCACAGTGAAATCCTTTTCCACCCGACAGGTTAGCATAAATCTTCAGTTCGAGTTGTGCAGGCTAAAGGGAAACAGTCACACTTGTATTAGGACAACAGGACAGGGGAAATGGAAGCAGCAGAACTCTCTGGGGACATTTGGAAGGGAGAGCCTGACCGAACATTTTCTGGAGTATCAAATATAAAGTTTGAGACCAAAGTTTAAAGTTTTTAGCCAAGGAATTTCTCAAGCCGGGGAAGAGCACAAGGAGTAGATTTGGAGGAGAAAATCAAGTGTGCCATTAAGCCCTGGCCAGGTAGCTCAGTTGGTCGGAGTATCATCCCAATATGCACCGGCTGTGGGTCGACGTCAGGTCATGGAACATACAGGAAGCAACCAATGAATGCATAAAGAGGTGGAACAACAAATTCTCTCCCTCTGTCTAAAATTAATAATAAATAGGTTTTTTTTTAAAAGAGTGCAACTGAATACACTAAGTCTGAATACCTTTTGGACATCCAAGTTGGTAATCAAGTTGGATTCAGAAATATGGAGCGCTAAGAGGAAGAGATCTGGGTTGGAGATATTAATAGCGGCCTTCTCAGGGTACCATTGTTGGGTAAAGCTATTTTAAAAAGCAACACCTAGGGTGTGAGTGAAGGAAAAAGAAGAGGGGCTAAGGAAACTTCTCTGGGACAGAGAGAAAGTCAAAAAAGAGCAGCTGGCAGGATGGGAGGTGGACAGCGCGCACAGTGTCCTGGGAGCCCTACACTGGCTGCTGAGGAGGGAGAAGAGACCCATCTCACCCGGACTGTCTTGTGATCTTCAAAAACTCAAAACTCTCAGAACTGAAAAAATCAAATTAAGGAAGAAATCAACGGTCCTATCCTCTTTTGTATTTTTCCTAGTCAACCTAACAAAATATAAACTTCAATCTGCTTCCACAAATAGATCTCAAGATCTGTTCCTCCTATATTAAAGCACTGTCGCTTTTTATTCTAAAATTAAGTGTTTGGTTTTTTTTTCTTAAAGTCCCTATACACATGCTTCAAACAATTTCCTCATTAGAAACTTTATGTCCTCAACTCATTTAAAAATTCCTCTCCACCAACAATGTTCTCCAATGTTAATACAACTGCTTGAGTAGTACTTTTATTGGTTTCATTTCCTCTTCTATTTAATCCTTTTCCATAATAATATTATCAACACAGCTTCCTGAAATATCAGTCTAGGTTCCAACTAAAATATAAGAAGGTTCTACTATTATTGAAGTTAACATAAACAGCAATATTCTATTAAAGTATGACACTGGTTTTCAGTATGCAGTATACTAGTTGCTAATCCCATTTCTAGCTTTGTCTCCTGAATTTACCTTTCACGTTTTGATTTTTTCACTCCCTTTTCTGGCTTAGAAATGCAAAAGCACTGACAGAATTGAAAAATACAAGTGTAGTACCTCCACACCCCCAGACACCTTTGACAACAGACTCTAAGTCCAGCTTCCACAGACAGAATCCTAAGATGTGACAGCCCCTACCTTGGTTAAATGCAAAGCATTTATTTTTAATGTCCTAATATACAACTTTAAAACAAGAACCAGAGCTAAACTCAAGGAATCTCCTACAATGTGAAATAAAATGAAAAAAAAAAAAAAAAAAAAAAAAGACACGTATGTGCCTTATCATGAAGTTTCGGTCAACGATGAACTGCACGCATGATGATGGTCCCAAAAGACTGTTTTGGATCAGAAAGATTCTGATCACCTATTGACGCAATTCATAAAAATTCTAGCACAACGCATTACAGTAACAGCCAGGCCTTCACATTCACTTTCCACGCACCCACTGACTCACTCAGGGCAACTGCTCAAGTCCTTCGAGCTCCATTCATGGTAAGTGCCCTATACAGGCATATCATTTGTCTTTTATACTGTATTTTTTACTGGGTATTTTCTGTGTTTAGATACACGCACTCTTACCACTGTACTGCAATGACCCACCGTATCCAGCACAGTAACATGGTGTACTAGTCGGCAGCCTAGGAGCAGCAGGCTAAACTTTATGGGCTAGGTGTGTAGTAGCCTCTAGCATTTAGGTTTGTGTAAGTGCATTCTACAGGGTTTAAAGCAGTCTTACAGGGATCTTCACTACCTCAGCTTGTCTGGAGACATGAAAATAAAGGCAGGTTTTCCCAGAAGTTTGTTCTGACTCTACAGATCTCAAAATTAACATGGGAAATAGTGCCTCCCAGTATTAAATTAATATCTTTAAATTAATTTTTGTGCACACAATTAGGAAAAGCTGTTAATAAAATTAGGCAGAATGAATGGGAAACATCTGATTGGTCTCTTGAAGCTTCAAAAAAATTTAGAAAAACAGATTAAACTATAATGTCATTTAGGGTCAACCCGATTCTTTGAGGTATTAAAAATGGCTGTCTTTATTCTTAAAGGGGGGAAGGTCATTTGGAACTTCACTTGTCAGAAACAGATACAAATTGTAAATGCCACCAGGGCAATAATTGTTCTTTTATAAACTAGTGAGTTTGCCCCTGTCACTGAAGGGTATGTTGTGTATGTCTGTGTTACGTCTTTTGTAAATGTGAGAGAATTGTCTACCTCCAGATGGCATTATTAAAATTAATTTAAATGCAGAAATATAGAAACCCAATGTTTTTCAAGTTCACATGGCCCAA